TGCATGTATAACACGTACAAGTTTCCTCCTCATCTGTAAATGAAACTAATATGATACTGCTTGTTGCATATTTAACATGTAAAAGTTTTCTTTCCATATGTGGCTGGAGTTCATATGAATTGTTAACTACGTGTTGAATCGTTGCACCACTCATGACCTCAACCTAACAACACCTTTTGAAAAGCTTCATGGATCAGTTCTTATTCTATCTCGCATCTATGTTATTGGTTGTAATGATAACATGCATTTTGGACAAGACAAACTAACCAAGTTGCAACAGAAGTCACACAAGCGTGTGTTTGTAAACTATGATGATGAATCTAAATCATATCGCTAATATCATCAGATGAGTTGTTGCATTATTTCTACAAATGACGTAACGTTATTTGAGCATATATCATGTAATTTTCCTAGCACTCACAACTTTGTGGACTTATTCAGTGGTTTTGACACTAAAGATGAGGCATGTGACCGATTGTTGCAACTAAATGAAGACAATTTTGAGACAACTGCACATCAAAGCTGCACATTGGCTTTTCAATCATCTTCACCAACATTGTCATCTTTATCAACGTTGCTATTGTTGCCACAAACAGATTTATTTTGCTAGTCTTCTAATTCAAGCCCAAGACGCAAATCTAGTCCATATCATGACCTAATTTTCTTAGTTTTTGCGGAATAATCATCATGTATCGGATCACAACTTCCTCAACATACTGGAGACGTCACAACCTGCTGATAAGTGGTTGAATCTCTCATGGATTCTATGCGAAGAAGAGCAATGCAAGAGTATTTTGATTGTCTCATTGCAAACTTCACATAGTAATTTGCCACGCTCCTACAAGTCAAGCGAATCTTCTTGTCTAATTGAATTTTCAAGGCCAAATCACTAATCTATGATGTCTCTTTACTTCTAAAAGCGAGTCTGATAGCTAGAGAATTCAAACAACATCATGACATTGAATACAACAAAACGTTTGCTCTTGTGGTAGAATGATCAACTTTTCAAGCTCTTATTTCATTGTTTGTTGCTCTCAGATGAAAATTGCATGATATGGATGCAATATATGAAATAGTCATCGGATTTTGAACAGCTAGGCCAAAAACATCTTGTTTGTCTTCTCAATCTATGATCTCAAACAATCTTTGAGACAATGATACAAGAAGATTGACTCCCATCTTCCATTCGTTGGTTAAGTTTGAAGCAATTTTGATCTGAAGTTCTTTGTTCTTAAAGCATATAAGATCATCATCGTGCTACTTCTCTATGTTGATGACCTACTACTATTAGAAAATTATTTTGCACGCATTGGGAATATTAAGACGCAACTACACCAACATTACTTGATGGTAAATCTAGGATCTATCTCTCGACACCTCGGTGTTGAATTTCACATGCTCCTTATGACAATTTGTTTCTACATCAACACAATATTATGTGGAACTTGATAATTCGATGGTCGAACTAATTTTATTCCATGTCAATCATGTCTTGAAAGTTCAGACAAGAATCGCGCATATAGATATTTTAGCCTACTATCACATTGTTCACAATCTGATATTATGAAAAATAATATTTAAAAAAAATCACAAAAAAGTCATAAAATATATTGATATTTTTCAATATATACAAAATTAGTAAATAATTTTAATATTCATAAATGCACTTGATATCAAACTATTAATTATTCAATTTTAAAATATCATAGCTAGACAACTTGAGATTTTAAAGGTTTGAATTTATAAATAAAACAATGACTATGAATAATAAATAAAATATTTATTATATTATATTATAAAATATTTCTTCAAAGTAATATTTTTAACTATATATTGAATGAAATGACTTATACATAAAAACAATTGTTATAATTTTTACAACACAATGGTAATCATGCTTAATTTAAAATATAATTACTATTATTTACTATGATTATAATCAAATATATGCATAATTATTATTCTCTTGCAAATAAAATATAAAAATACTTTATCAAAAAAATTTGTTGATGCTTATAAAACCATGAACAATGACTTAAAAATAAACATAAATTATGTGAATGAATTATTTATAAAATTTATAATAATAATAATAAATTAATAAATATAATTCTTTAAGAAAGAAATTATACAATCATTTGAAATAGGAAATTTGATTTGCATATATCAATGATGAATGATTTCAGCCAATTTGCTTCATTCGTTATTTTTTGTTTAGATATAATTTGCTAAGTTTTTTACATCAATCATTGAAATTGATAATGAAATTTTGTTTGATTAAATCTGTTTATATCAAAAAATTTAAACTTCTTGCCAGTAAATAATACATCAACCATATAATATTTATTAACAGTAATGTATTTGTAGATTTGAGATTATATTAACATTTAGATTTGAAATGTCAGGTATAATCAACTCCATATTTCTGTTATGTTTCATTGAAAATAGTTATTTTTTTATTTAATATTTAATAAATTAAAACTTATATGTATAATATTTTTAACTATTTTTCTTTATCTATGAATTTAATTTTTGTATCAATGCATTTGACAATAATTTTCAAATATTCAATGAGAGACATATTATTAACTTTTAATTGATACATATTCATGCTTCAAATCATTATAAGCAAGGAAAAAATTACACAAAACTATTTTAAAGATAATTAACTTCCGAGTTGTATTATTGATGATAATATATCAATATGAACAGAAATTATATCATCTAAAAACTATATATATAAATTAATTTAATTTATTGTGTGTAAGTTGATTTAACATAAAAAATGTTACTAAAAGGTTACTGCGAATAGTTATTGTCAAATGTTTTTTACTTGAGTTAATATAATAAATATAAGCTTGATATTGTACGTTATAATTTAAATGTAGTTGAACATTTAATATATTAGATTGGATCGATTGTATATTGAAATTAAGATAAAAACTTTGGAATTTTACAGCCGTTTGCAATTAAGCCTGAAATTTGTTGTATGTAGTAGGTATTTTGTCACTATTCATATATTTACGTGTAATAATTATTCCACATTCAAAACTGACTGTGTTATTAGCATTATTTGCACATTATTTAATATAAAAAGATAAATTATAATAACTGATCATTTGTTTCAAAGAGGTAGCGTAATTCACTACTCATAAGAGGTTAAATTTAAAATTTTTGCCATTGAAAATATGGTTCTTGAATCTTTAAAATATATGTGTTATTTATATGTTATTACGATGATACACATGCTTAAATGAGCAATTTTGCAATAAAACATAACAATCATGTTTGAAAATGTATATTTCTTTTGGTTATAAATATGCAAGATATTTGATTTGACATGCTATATATTTGATATCAACTTATACAGTCATGTTTCTTCATCACTATCATACAAAATGAATAAATAATTAATTTCAAAATATGTTAAAATTGATTAAATTTCAATAATGTAAATTTATAGGATTTATATTGTGTAGGATAATAAGAAAATATTTATTTTGTATTTTGAAAATTTTATTTCGACAATAAATATCTAAATATATTTATTTCAACATGATTAAGTATATTATTTTATTTTCTTATCAATTATAATTTATCAGACAAATGAAATTGTTTAATTTTTTTCAAGAATATCTGAATGAGTGTATATTAAATATCTTGTCAATTTAAAATTATGAATAATTGGAGATTAGATATATATACACACATACACACACATACATATTTGTCTATTGTTTATATGTGATTTCTAAGATTTATAAAAGAATTATACTTTATATTATAAACTTGTAATTACTTACATTGGCTCATAAAATTTATATTTTTATCACATGTAAGACAAAATAGTTTGTAAGAATGAAAATTCTAAAATGAACAGAAGGATTTTTTTGAATAATTTCTATATCATCCCAGTTTTATAATTCACTGTGCGACATATTTTATTCTGGGATTTTTTTATATTAAATTAATTTTGTTATAAAAAATTGGTTAATATTGATTTGAAAATCGATGTAGGAGTTTTATTGAACTTGCTTAGAAGTTAGTCAAAAAAAAGCATTTCTTGACTAATGTATTTCATGCAAATTGATGAGTTAGTATATACTGGCTCAATATTTGGATATCTATCTATTTGAAGAGTTTGCATCTAAAAAGAAGAAACCAATTTATTGCTGATCTGTGAAAAAATTAATTTTTTTTTATTATATTCCAGATTGAAAGAAAGTGGAAGAATACAGAAGCACATACATTTATGCGTGTATGAATTCTCATAATTTATTATGACCATTTATCAGATGCAGACCACTATGTAGTGATGGATACAATATTATTATCATTTTTTATTACTCTGTGGAATGTTATGAAACTTTGCGCCAAGTTTTACAACATTAATATTCTAGAAGTATGACTGCCTTCCCCAACTAGCTTCTTTTCACTTGCTTTCATCATTAATAATTTGTACCAGCAATGTCACATACCGTCGTCTTAACAATAGACGACGCTAACCTAGGTTATTATCATATAACTCAGATTTGAATACAATTTATTGATCACATTGAAATTGTGAACCAACCGGAAACACGATATAGTCTACCGTTCTAGTGACTGAGTTGTATTGATTAAATAGAGGGTTTTTTGTTATTGAGCAAAACAAATTATTTTTGAGATATATATACATGTGAAATAAATAAATAAATAAATAAATATTTAGCTAGCTCTTCGGTGCTATTTATTCGCTCTGGGCGGCTCTCTTCTATATTTGAGAAGGATGTGAAATCTGCTGTTCAATGTGGTGATTCAGGGTCCAAGATACAAATGTGGCTGCTCACCGATAGCTCTTCTATCTGTTGCTCCCATGAGCTTTGCAGCTGGCTGTAGGAAATTACTCCAGAGGGCGAGTTCAAACCACGTGTGGACGAACCCTAGGCGGAAAGCAGGGCAAAACCGGGCGGAGCTGGGTAGATGAGGCGGTTTGGCAGTAGAGCCGGAAGCGGATACGAACGAGACATTTGGCAGCGGTGCGGTCTGATCACGGAGGAACAAGAAGACCTTCGGACTGTCGTCGGAGGATAAGCCCTGGAGCCAAAACCTCTCGCACGAGGCGATTCTTCGCTCGAGGGATGGAGAGCGCGGGCCGTCGATCCTCGTGCTGACCACGTGCACCGGCACCTTGTCGGACTGGCATTCGAGCTCTATTCATGCTGCGAAAGATTGGTCGCTCGAGTTCGCCGATAGAATTTCGGTGTTTGGAGACATTTCGTTCTTTGCAAATTGTCTGAGACATTTCTGAGTGCAGTGCGGAGCGGTGGGGTAGCGAGTGCTGGCGGATTGGTTTATATTTCGGGCGGAGTTGGGGAGGAATTGGCACCAGGAAGGCTGGAAAGGAGGTGCATTTTTTAGGGTGAATGTACATAGTCGGGGAATTGGAAGATGAGCTGAAGAGATGGTGCTCCTGACATCTGGAGCTGGAGCCAGGCGGTGTAGTGCAAGAAAAGTGGGCGGTTCAACGATTCAGTCCGTGCATGGTGGCATGACGAGCTTGCATTGAGCGTGCAGCGAAGAATTTGCGAGCTTTAGCCGTGTGTTGGGAGAGGTAGTTTCAATGTACTGAATTTCTGGTGGCAGAAGTGAGTGTGACTAGATATGGAGTCCACGGGCCTCATGCGTGTTGGATTGGGGTTGACTTTAGGAGGAGGAGTGGGATTTGTCAGACCTGCTTGCAATGTGAGATTGGAAGGGCGGAAGACAATTAACAGGATATGTCGGGGAGGTGTGGCACTGAGAGTATGTCGACCAAGTGTGACAGGAAGAACGCATGGATGGGACAGAGAGAAGATGAGTGGGGTAGGAGTTGTGTTGATAGCAGCTAGAGCTTTTGGTGTCGGAAGGCGCGGACCGTCTCGCCCGCGAATTACTACGCCTCGACACCCTGTGGAGGAAGAGGAGAGCGATGAATCTCACGCAAATGTTGATAGTCGGTTCGTTCTCTGTACCTCTCAAGAATCTGGTTAAAACTTTATCACTCGAAAATTTTGCTTCTGTCTTGAAGCTTCATCTGGTTTGTTAAACATAATTTGGTCCAAATTTGACTGACACATGTGAATCGGAACAAGAAGCAGCTTCACAGTAGCTTTTTACTCACCTTGTTCAGGCTCACGGAAGCAAGTAACGAAGAATTTTAACCTTGACGTCAGGTCAGCGCATTCATGTCATTGACTGTAGTTCAGACATGTACAGGATCTTCATTTACAGATAATGTACAATTTACTACAAATCAATATCATTAAACACACAAACCACTGTCCATTTGTCCTCCCGGTCAGAATTCTATACCATATTTGAGAGCAACGAGTTGAATGCCGCATCTGTTACGTAGGAAACTTCTCGCCTAAAATGAGAGTGCTGTATTTTGGCTGAAGTTATTCTTCAGTGGGTACGAAGAGTGAGTTGTCAATTTGGTGTCAGTGATACGTTGGTATACGTTGATACGGTCATCATGGGTCTTTATGCAGGCCATCGAAGAAAGTGTCACAGACCCGCTTTTCCGTGTTCCAAGACCTTGTACAACTTTCAATATGCATCCCCGTTTACTACTTCTTGGCTACTACATCTTATCGTACATGAGGTCTACTCTTGTCTGGGTGTGTCACATGATTACTAAAACTCCGATCGCAAATGAGAACCCACTTCAAGGTGTTCAGGAGATGAACGATATCTTAGATTCCTCTATCAGGAGATACAGTCCGTTTTGATTCGAAATGCTCGATAAAGTACCAGGTTGTTGCCAGAAACCGGGGAGAAGACAGGTGACGTCAGATGATTTTTTACAATATCGCGCAGGACTCTGTAACTAATTTACGGATGCACTTGGTCTTTTCCGCGAGAATGAGATTTTAGTATTTAACCAAGGGTAATACAGTCGAGTGATTCAAGACTATAATGCAAGAATGTCAGCAGATGTACAAAGCCAGTTGGAATATTCTTGTTTGCATCAGACTTCAGGTCATCCCTTCACCTTAATGAACATTTACCCGAGAATTTCGTTCAAAGGGATGAAAGTTTTTCCTACTTCTCAAGAAGGCCCTTACTTTGTCGATTTTTGGTGTGAAGTTAGGAGTGTTAGAGCCTGGTACTTGGATTGCTGGATGGTCAGTGCAGTTAGGAGAAGACATGCAGCTCGAAAAAAATTAACATATGAACAGGGAATCAAGTTGCATACTGACCTGCAGTATCATTTATTTCAGAGATGATGTCACGCAAGGCATTGTGGAAGTACTGGATGGTGAAAGTGAAGGTCCTATCACCGAGGACCCCGCAAACAAGTCAGCGCAGCTACTTCAGGATCAGTTCAACCGCTTTGCAGCAGCAGTGGCTCTGGCGGATAGAAAAATGGCTGAAGAGATTATCAAAGAAATGGGGTATGAAGGCTCATAAAATGGTTACCAGTCGTAGTTGCAATTGACAATAAATTAAAAAAGTAAGAGGAGCGAGGATAATATTACAGATTTATGGGAGCGTACATATTTGCACAGCATATTTTCATAGATACGTTTGATATCCAAAGAGAGCGTTTCAAGGGTGCTTGGTCCTAATTTCTGATCAGTCTGTCGTACCTCTCATTTTCTTCTGATGCACAGATTGCGATTGAACTACTGTTTCCTTATCGGAACTCATATTAGTAAACCTGTTGTTAAGATAATCGTTTTGTTAAATATGTCTCTTTATGAACTTATTCTGACGTGATCATGAGAAGATAAAAGTTTGGATGTACCCTTAAAAGCCTCTTCGCCATAGACTTTCCAATTCGTGAATCTGAGAAAATGTTTGGTGTGGGCTTTTTACATCATATCATTGCTCGATTTGCATTTTGCATTGGGTAGCATTTACCGCCAAAACGTTCGGCCTTCATTAGTTTAGGTTTTTCCTGTTCAATCTCATCTTATCGAAATTTCCTCACTCTTTGATACAGCTGATCTCTTTGAACCGCCAAGTTGTGCCAAATGTTCAGATTTCACACTTTACTGCACCATTAAGTGAAGCCTTTGGTTCCTTATGGGATACAAGTCACTGACATTTACTTTTTGATGCGTATTTATATGTGCAGTGATGGGGAGTCTGTTGGCGTTGAACTTTCGGACTTTTCTGATGGTGAAGATGAAAACACAAATCCAGTAAATGAGTTTGAAGATTCTGCTCAGCTCATTGATGACCAGTTATATCACATTCAAAATACGATGACAACAGCAAGGATGTTGTCAGAGGAGTCTAATGGCGAGATTCGGTACTGTTTCATGGCAACCAAATTTGTTTTTCCTCCAACTTGTTGCAACTAGCTCGGTAGATCCACATGTGATGCCTTTTGTGCAAATTTTAGATGGTTCCAAAACCAGAGAAGTTCAGTGTATAGAAGACTATCTCCACATACTAGAAGGTCAACGGTTCTGAGAAGGGCTGAAGCAACTTACTGCATTTTGTTAATGGGATCAGTAAGCTTTTACTGTATTTAGATATCATATCTTAGTTTTTCTTCAGAGTACTCGACCTACCTTCTGTATGGAGCAGCAGTATGTGCCATCCAAGGCGCCAAGCTGGAAGCAATACAGCTAAAATTCTTTGGTACAATGATTTCAGCAACAACACGAAGAGTGCGATGTATTATTAGAATGCAGAGTGACCTGTCTTGGAGGTCGTAGAGGTATTACAAAACTCAATTAGAGAAGATAACTTTATCATGCGCGACATCACCGGTATCCCCGATCTGTCGTGAATGCTGTCTGGTAGCGAGAAGGCAAGGTAGACTTGCTAGATCTTTGTTTAGTTAAGTGCAGGACACAGCGAGGGCAACAAAGCTGCCCTTGGTAGTAGATGTATGACAGATGGAAGCAGAGCCCTCTGAAACATGAGTGATGCGGGCAGTTTTAATTTGAAGGTGCAGTAAGGGTCAGTTTTCTTAAGCCCAAATAGAGCAAGACGGGGAACCATTTGTCCAAGTTGCAAACTCTTCGATAAGTCATGGTTTGCAACTCCCTCTCACTAGCATGAGAGCGAGATGGTGTACTAATATCGCTCTGCTGGTCGAAGCCATGATATTCACTGGCTTTACTAGCCTTGATCTAAAAGCCCAAAACAGCCGCTCTTCTTTTGTTACTGCCGCGGTTTGATAAGTAAAGGTTTTCTTGGTTGATATCCCGAAACTCCGAGTTCTTCTTATAGGTTGGCACAAATCAAGAGTCTTAATGCTTTTCAAAGTTGCCCTCTCTTGTTTCTCTTTCTTGCTATCCCGTCTACAACAACCACTTACTTTCTTCACACTAGCCCCTTTGAGCCATGCGCAGGTTGAAGGACTTACTCTGTGAAGGCGCACACTGGAGAGTACGATTTGAACCCTAGAGACCTATCTGATCCTTTTGGTGCACTGTATGGCAGGAATTTTCGCCGCGATCGAGACACCGACCATTCAGGGGAAGATCCTAGAGCTGTTGAGAAACAGTTAGAGGAACTATATGAAGAAGTGGGAAGGATGATAGAAGAAGGTGATGAAGGAAGTGCTCGAGAAGTTATAGAGGCCAACTACGAGGCTCTTCTGGAACAGCTGGAAGAGGGGATTCGAGGAGTGGAACAAGCAGCCATGCTCGATATTTTGGCCCAGCTGTACATGAATATGGGAGATTATGAATGTGCGGATGTTCTCTTGGATCAGGTTCGTGTCTTTTTTGTGAACAGGTGCATGACTTTTTCATTTGATTGATTGTGGGTGGACTTTTCTGCAACTTCCTTACTTCTCATTAATCATACAGCAGTTATCATTACTTGACTGTGATCATACAACAGGGACATCTCTCTGTTGTTCTGAGCAGCCGTACTTCATTTTCATCGTAAGCCATGCGACTTGAGGTTTTATCATGGAAATTTACTGATCTGGAGGTGCGTTGCAGACGAAGGAGATTTTGGATGACATAAGCAGTCCCCATCCTCTCCTAGATAATATTCTGGAGCATGTAGGGAGTATGTATACAGGCATTGGCAAACCTGAAGAGGCTCTGCCGTGTTACCTTCGGAGCCTTGACATTCAGGAAAGCGTATTTGGTTAGTTCTCATGATCAGCTTTCCCAATTTGCAGTAGGTTACACTCTTTAGGTGGATGCCATATATGTCACATACTGAGCTTACATGATAGAAATCAATGTATTCGTTTTCTCTTTTGCTATGAAAAATAGGATGGCGTAATCATATTTTCACTTCTTTAAGAATCAGCCAAATGTGGTGTAATTTGATTTATCACCTTCCTTACTCGACAGTCTCTAAGCAGTAGTCGCTTGTGGGTGAAATACAGTAGCAACAAATACTGAATGAAATTTGTTGTATCTCACTCATACTCTCAGAAGAACGAAATGTCATGTATGTTGCAGAGTTTGCCAAAATTTCAGAATTTCAGATCGTGAGTTTTAAGAAGAAGAGCAGCGGTAGCTTCTTCTTTTCTGTGGAGTTCTGACTCGCTTGTTTAAATTTTCAGGAAAGGACAGTCCTTTACTTGTGAGGACTATGCTGGGCCTTGCCAAAACCTACAGTGAGTTGGACGCTGGAAGTAAAAGTGTTGAGCTATATCAGCGATCGTTGGTTCTTACAGAAAGATCCCAGGGTTCGAATAACGAAGCAGTAATTCTTATTCTTACACATTTAGGACATACTCTCCTTGAGGAGGAAAGATTGCAGGAAGCAGAAATTACATTGCGGAGGTATGACATTCGTTCATGACTTTCATGAATTCTCTTCCAAGTTGAGAAACCATAGATCGGAATTTTGTGGGTCTTGACTGCGCATTTTGAAATTTTGTTTTGTTTGTTCATTACTTTTGTTCAGGGCGGTCGTGGTGACTCAAAACGCCTACGGAGCACGAGATGGAAGAGTAGGTGTAGCTACATGCGCTCTAGCTCGAGCCAAAAGTGGACAGGGTACATTCCTTACTTTCTGGCAAGCCAGTTGAAGATCCCGTTGGGAGCAGGCAAATGTACAAACTGGAGTCAAATGAATCTGCTTGACTTTCTTTGGCAGCGCCTAATGCCTATTTCCATGCTGTTCATTTTGGTTTTTGTTTATCAGGGGAAATCGATGAGGCTGTACGAATGTATCAGCAAGGCCTTCAAATAATGGAAGATTGTCCGAAGTTTTCTCCAGATGATCCAGTTATAGAAAGTGTCCGCACTGATATGGCAGAGATATTGAACATGACTGGCAGGTAATAATGAAATAATACTAATCAGGTTTTGAGTTTGGCTGGCTTACAAGTGCAGCCGACACCGCTGGCATTTTTTAATTGGATATCACGTTGTTAGGTACTGAAAATCAGGAACAAGTTCGTTGGTATCCTTTTCACTGACTATTTTAGGCCATAATTGTATGCGGTGGTGAAATGTCTAGGGACACTGAGGCTCAGTTGTTATGGGAGGAGAATCTGCGCGTCAAAGAGAGAGAGCTCGGGAAAAATGATGTGCAGTTGGTGCCTCATCTGAACAACTTGGCTACATCCTATGCTCATTCGCAACTTTTCGACAAGTGCGAACCATTACTGAGGAGGAGCTTGAAGCTGATGACCATACACTTTGGTCCGAAAGCGCCTCAAATTTCAGTATCTCTAGAGCTGTTAGCAACAGCCTTGCATCATCTGGGAAGAGGTTTTGAGGCTGAACCTCTTGCTCGTGAAGCTTTAGCGATACGCGAGGCTCATTATGGTCCCGACCATCCTAACACAGGTGAGGACATTCTTTCTTGCCTGGCTATATCTTTTCAATGTGCATATTTATGCTATGTATGTGCAATTTGTGACTCATATTGGGCTACGCATGCTTCAGACTTGAAAGTGTAGATGAATGGAGGAAGTCCGTAGCTTTCATTTACATTTTTGATTGATGTTCCATGACTAGGGCACGAAGCACCTGCGTTCCAAGCATCTAATTTTTTAAGTTATCTTCTTTGCAGGACAAGCTTGTAATTGCCTTGCCGCCGTTCTGCATGGACTTGACAAAGATAGCGAGTCAGAGGTATACTTGCGGAGGGTTCTGAAGATTCAGGAGAAGGAACTAGGACCTGAGTGCCCAGAAATTATTTTAACTTTAGAACTCCTGGTAATGCTTCTTGATAAACAAGGTAGACAAAATGAACTCCCACCAATTATACGCAGATTGCAAAGACTGGAAGCTATGATTACTGATGAATCGAATAATGAAGAGTAGCACAAAGAGGGTATCCAAGAAGGAGCTCGTTTTAGTCCGGTCGTTCATTGTACCGATAGTACACTCATTACAAGTTTAGATACTCAAAGGCAGAAGAGAAGGCGGCAGCGGAAATGCTTAGCGTGAAGTCTGTGTTCTTAACATCAAGTACCTTGAAGCTCTTCATCAGCACTTGTTCGCACTACCTTGATGAAGATTATGGGAGGTGGGAGTCTTGGTACACCGCAATGTTAGCTGGTGCTGGGGGTGTACGTCAAGTTGGCAGTAAGCAAGATTTAGTGTTTCCTTGGTTAAGATTCATTCGACTTCTGATACGGAAGAGTCTGTGTGAGATTTTGTAACATACATAAGGGAATGCCCTCGGGGCGTTCAAAGGAGCCGTGCAATATTTAACGAAGGTGACGAGAATTTAGTGCCGTTGAATTGTTTGGATTGCTTTGTATATTTTAAGGTAGTATCAAATGAAAGGTTGAATGGAAGAAATTAGGTATCACTAGGAATTAATCAGCAGTGCTTGCATATCTTCCGTCATTTTCTTGGTAGATATTGCTGAACCCGTCAGTAATCTGCACCCTAAATTTTAACGTTCCGCATGTGTTTACGGTAATGGAGGTACATAGGGTCTATGCTACTGCATGAATCATGGACAGTAAAATTAAGAGATGTGTCTTGCGAACAACTGTGAGGTAGGTGGCACGTCAAGGGGATCAAAGTGGCTCACCGATTGCCAAGTGCCTGGCTTTTTCCTCGTTCTTGCCTGTATGTAAAAGATCGTGCTGCGGCTAGTATGCGAGTCCGTCGTTGCAAGAGGAAGCTCCTATAGGCTGTCAAACACTATCGCGTTTCTCTGGATATTCCCTAAGGTGTCCTGGTTTTTTGTTGTATCTTTTCCAACGTATTTCGAAACACCAGTGACAGTGGGGTTTGTGTCGAGACGTGACAATTTTTTTCTAATCGATTAGCGATGATACTGTCGGTAACCGCGTACTGAGTGAAAGACGTTTTCTGGCCTTGTGGATGAGATGAAGCAAGTTGTAAAGAAGTGTAAGAGAAGATTCCCAGCTATGTTTAACAGTTCGAATCGGATTGGCACTTGATTTCCGCCGATTGTACACACTGAACAAAGGCGATTTATTCCTCCGTCAACCCTCGAAACCAATACTATAAAGTAATATAAATTTGACTTTGCTGACAATAAAGCTGTGATGAAATACTTTTGGAGTGAACTTCATATAAACACCTACTTGGCGAATGGCCACATTTACATATTGCCGATAAACCATCCCATACCTCTCAGAATCACGTGCGTGAAGTTTGCTCTCCTGGTACCATCTACTAAGGGTTGGTGCTGGGGTTTGCATGATCCCAATACCAACCCTAAAACACATCACGACACAATCGGGACTAGTCCCTGGTTTAGGGTTTCGGGTGCAAAATAAACATAAAAAAGTAGAGGTGATTTTATAGACGAAGAGAGTGGAGGTTCGAGTGTAGACTCTACACTGTAGAGTCTAGACGCCGGTTGTCCATTAGAACCTTGTGAGCTCCAATCATGAAGCTAATTTGTGAAGTGCTGGTGTGATTTCCTTCTCCTGGTTTTCACTTATCCACTTCAGGAACTCGGGGAATAATCGAAACATTTGTCGTAAGGCTGGAGGTTCTGTAGACGGACACTAACTAGTGCAGATTGAGTGTAATGTACGTACATGTGCGGTGGAATCTTGAGCCATGAGACTGGCTAACTGAACCTAGGGTTCCTGTGAATTATGAACTCTATGCCACTTGATTCAGCACCGAGGCATTACTATGATCCTTCGCCCCAACAATAATCGATCCCCTTCGTGATTGGGTTCAAGAACTCAAATCATGCAACCAGTGGAGTGGAGTACGGAAACAAGTTTCCTAGGGAAATGAAAAGCTATGAAAAATTTCCCATGAGGTCACTTGGTAATACGGAGTAGTCGCTTGGATGTGAAAAGCTCGTCAATATAAAGGATGAAATCCATGAAGCTGGTCCCGAATGGCACTGCAATGTAAAATGTATCATAGTGTACCCAATATTTCTGAATTATCTAATTCAAATGTTATGCAAACTGCAAAAGCAATTTCTCTATATTTAATATTATTTAGAGATTTATCTTAGATCAAAAAATTTTTATTAAAAATTTTCTAAAATGAATCTTAATGATATCTATCCTGCATATACGATCAGGTTATTTTGTAAAATTTCTAAAATCAGATATTCTTATAGATTTACTTTCAAATTTTTTGAAATCTTTCCATATCTTCATACTTGGCAATTTTGGTTATTGTCATTTCATTGATTTATAAATAAAGTAATATAAAAATAATCACTCATTGTACATACTACTCTTCATCTCAAATTGAATTAGATAAGCAAATACATCAAGTAGATAAAAAAAACAATAAATTTCATACACTTTAAAAATGAAAACAAACATGAGATATTTAACGGTATCATGAATATCTACATTATATATAGAATTGAATAGTAGATTAAACACATGTTGTATCTTACGCAACCCAAAGCCTATCCTTATCAACTCATAAAGTACCCTATGGGAGTCCCTAAACCTTGATGTATGTTCCGATTAGGGCCAAAGGTACGACCATTGTCTTCGGAGCAAGAGCGTGACCCTAGTCATACAAAGAAGAATGGACAAATTACTAAGAATGAAAGAAAAGTGATGATAGGAAACTGTCATCAACAAGATAAACACGTTATGAACTGGGAAAAATCAAATTGAATTGTACTTAGAAATGATCACGGTTGATTGCTATCTATATAGAGTCACTTTGTGAGGCTACAAATATGATTATGAGTTGTAAGTATTCACTGTAACCGAGACTTTTTGTACTTTTCCGTATTTAATGGAACTGATCGTTAATATAATCTAATGGAAATATATACGCGGAGGTAATGTGCAGTCGTACAAAGAATCACTATTTTCCGGGAATAATTTTTCTAGACACTTCTGATAGTCAATGAAGAGCACTTCAGAAGGAAACACGTTCCGGCCAAGTTCTCGGATCTCCACGTCAGACTGGACGCGCCAAACCTTCCTTCAAAGAGCTCGAGGGCCACGTCAGACGATCGATCGATGCCACCGAATGAGCTGATTCGGGGTCCTGTCCGACAGTGCAATCCAGAAATTTCAAAACACTTCGCGAACTCCTCGTCCAGCTCATTCGGGTACATTCCACATCGTCCCAAGTCAGGTTTCCAACATGGCAAACAGCGCCAACTCGCACTTTCTGGAGCCTGCGGCTGCTCTCGAAGCGCAGCGTATAAATTGCAGCAGCCGCAGCCGATTCTCATCAATTCAGCGAGCGAGTGTTCACTTCCGGCGACCGTCATCCGCCTTCAGCAGCTCTCGTCTACTAACAGCCAGCGCTCCAATTTCTCGTTCAGGTATGCGATCTGTCGAATAGGGCTTCTGTGAACGAAGATTGTGTTCCATTGCTCTCATGGCTCGTCTGTCTGCTCGTCCTCCGGTGGCGATGTCTTGTTTCTCTTGTCTCAATTGCTACTAGTTTTTCGATACGGCGGAAGAGAATGGTTCAGATCAGTATTCGTGGTTCAAAGTTTCGATGCATTGTGCTTCGTTCTCGTAGTCAGTGATCTGATTTTGTGCCGCTTCGTGTGATTGAAGGTGCAGGGAAGAAAGCCTTCTGCCGCGATGGACATTTACTTCGGACATCCTCTTACCAGCGCTCTCACTCAGTTGTTGAATACTTCTGATGAGTACGAGAAGTCATTGAATCCGACTGCCAGGACTTATGTTCGTGACACGAAGGCGATGTTTAACACCTCGGTTGACGTGAAGGAGCTTCCAAATGCGTATGTCTTCATCGCGGACATGCCCGGACTCAAGTCCAGTGACATCAAGGTATGCCGACTGGATCTCTTCCAGTAATGTCTGATTGGCATATGGAACCATCTGAGTGTCGCTAGTTTTTGCTCATTGGTTGCAGTGAATAATGTGATCAGATGTAGTTAAGATGATTAAAAGGTACTTAATGTCACCCACAATTTTGATCGAGCTAGAAATTGGTCCTTCTAGGTAATCAGCAATGTTGGGGAATGCTTGAAAGGATGTCAATTAAGGACTTGCATGTTCAGTACTGAAGTCGTCTATGAAACGCTGTGCAGGTGTCAGTGGAGAACGAAAACGTTCTCACGATCGGTGGTGAACGAAAGCGCAGCGAGTCTGCGGACGAGTCGTCCAAGTACGTGCGCCTGGAAAGACCTGCAGGAAAATTTCTGAGGAAGTTTACACTTCCGAGTAATGCGAAGCTCGATGCTATATCGGCGGCATGCGCGGATGGTGTCCTCACCATCACAGTGCCGAAGATACCTCCTCCTGAGCCTCACAAGCCGAAGACTATTCAGGTCACCGAGGGTTGATCGGCACCGCCGGAGAATGGAGGAAGTTCAGAAATAAGGCGAAATCATATCCGCGACATGAAATTGGTGTCGACCAGCTGCGCCGTGTATACATCACCGTGGTTTGGCAAGTAGTGACAGTTCCAGATGCAAGACAATGAGCAGAAGAGTGACAGATGAAAGACGACAGAGATAGTTTTGTGCTAGATCTGGGTTTCCCTCAGAACACCGTTTCTGTAGCGTTTATGGATTCACGGTTTTTGATCTACGAACTCAACGATTAGTCTACTGGAAGCTTACTGATGCTTGTAAACGTGCGAGCAATCAAAGAGTAAAGAATTCATTTTTCCAACGATGATCTGATTTTAAATGTTAAACTTTCTGGATGTTTCTCGAAGTCCACTTAAATGTGTTGTAGCAAACGAAATGTGGAAACTAAGTCAGTGTTTGAGAACATACTATTATTAAAAGTAGCCGAAGATCGAAGATTTTTAAATGCAAGTTGCCTCGTATATGGAAATCCAAGTTGAAGATACGTGGGAAACATTTTGAGATAAAGTCAAAAGACGGCCCAAATCTAAGTAGATAGTTAATGCGAAAACCTCTATCTCAAACAAATTTATTATCGTCTACAACAAAGAACGTGATGTTTTCATCAAACAAACCATTTTCTTACGTGTAGCATGTATAAGAGAAATATCTACACAAAGTTAAAAGGTGATACTCAACCTCGCGAGACACAAATTTTAGCAGATAAATAAATCGAAAATTTGTCCAACTCTGGTTATGAGCCAAACTGGGCGAGAGTTGAGAACTTGATGTACCAATCGTGGAATATATAGTTGAATGTGAAATGCTTTTTCTCAGAACGCATAGGTAAATGGAACAATAGAAAATAGAAAAGTCAACGTTAGAAAAATGTAATTTATTTACCGTAAATGATAAAATCATGAAATTGTCTCTAGCTACAGAAGAAGTCGTAAAATTAAAAAAGCTAATATCTGGTCTGTAATTGAAGATTTTCAACCTAGCCTATCGATCTTCAGGGTTTGTTATACATCTTCACACGACAACCATCAAAAGACGACTTTCAGTAATCCTAATTATCGACCAAGAAAGACATCACCCATAAGCTCTCACGAGGATCTTATTCGTCTTGAACCCAATTTTGTCAGGCCTTTGAATTAAACTCACGTGACAGGGAAAATTTCAGATATGATGTCACCTAGTGTCATCGTCTGATATGTTCTGCCCTTAAATGACCTTGACTAGACTTGAATCGACACTCAGCTGTTATGTTATCAGACAAACTCTCGTATCCTCGAGCCTTGAGGAGGTGATAGTGAGGGAGAGAATCACATGACCACATGAAATCTCTGCGTGAATTCAATGAGCAATATCACGGTTTTCAAAGTATTATGATGACTTTTTGTACCATCTTGACTATATGAGCTTTCTAACCGAGCTATGACGGTTTGGATACAGTTTTAACCGGAGTCATTTCATTGACTTAAGTTCAATTTCAATCTGTCTCCGTGTCTCTTCTGAACTTGATAGCTCTCAGGAAGAACCACCAGTTCAAGTCTTCTGTTTGATCAGATCAGGTTGCATGGGGAAGGCCAAGATCCACTTCCAATATTCAAGATTACATCTCCAACACTAGCATTCTGATCTCCGCAACGCCATTGCAATTGGAAGAGTGCAGGCCATATGGCATTCTCCTCACCACGTACTCTAAACACGTCATTCTCTTCAAGAGTGATTATGTTCACCCACCTCTTAAATTATCTCGCGTCCACACATTCTCCATCCATGCCTACATATATTATACGTGGTTTGCATCGTGATTCTTTAATACGCACGCATCCAACAGCATCACTGACGTATAGCAATGCCAACATCTCTCGTTGTAGATTGACTTCTGAGATTTAGAAGAGCAAAGATTCAACAACGACTGAAATATGAATTCCACTCCTTCTGAGATCTCCGAGATTCGTCATACCCAAAGCCAAAACAAAGAACAGAACAGGATGAAGACCCAATAACTTCCAAGAGCGTCCTAACTTACAACCCTCAATCTAGACCTTCATCTCATCTCGGAAAGTTCATTTGAAGAGTTCTTTGTTTTTTCTAGGCTATGTGACAGAGTAATTTACTTTGGACTGAAGCCAAAGGGGAAGGTCATTGTGTAATACGTGGAATATGTGGGATGAGGATTTTACAGTTCAGACAAATGAGGAGAGGACATTGATCCCGCCATGTCGTGATAAAATCCAGGGATTCTCGCCAGCTCCAGGTTTTGACTTCAAGCACATAGAATCATTCATTGTTTTTTATTTACAATGAAAAATTGAAACCACATGCTCAGAATGTCGTGTTAGGAAATCACTAAGAGGCATGAATATATGGTAATTGAATCTCAAAGCTATGCAGCTCCTCTCTATCCCACTCGGATTCTCTTATGACTTAGACCTCCTCTTGCAAAGACGAACAACTTGAAGAATCCAAACAATTATCCAACTTGTCAGTATGCAGTCAACTGAAAGGACCGATCAACTCCTACATTAATCAGGAACCGTTTGGGCTGCTCTGTGAGTTGTAGCCTGCTGGCTGATCAAGTCGAGTTAAGTTTCCATACAACAACCGAAATCCAATAATTAATCAACTTGACTTCCAAAGTCAGCCCCTAACAACCTGGACACCCAAGGCAAGCACCTACCGTAGCTAGAAAGAGCATGCAATCATTTTTCTCAAGGACGACAGTTGATAATCTAATCGTTAACCCCTCTCCCTTTACGTTCTCGACTAACTTTTATGTCAACGACAGTCATAACTCTCAATGTTTCATAGAGTATCATCATCAGGGCCTCTTCTCCAGGAGCTGGGTCAGTTTTTTCTGTATAGCAGGCCTCTACTAGCTACTGCAGAGGATGTTCCTGCCACTAGCAGACCTCCCTAAAGAATAAAATATTTTGTGTTTTGCCAGGTTACGTGATATTTTATGGATTGTTTCATTATAGCAAGGCGTTTGGTCTTGTCGTGCATCCTCACTTGTGGGATTGTGATATCGAAATTCCGACTCTTGTAGCCATATATAAGCCAATTGTGGGACAATATGCCCTTCCAACGTAAATTCTATGAGTATTCAGAGTAGACAACATCGTATACCAGCTTGATCCCAGTGGACACCGTTTAAAAATTTCTCACACCGAATTTGTCTTCTCTTCAAAAAGATCTGGTTCTCGTCACGGAGTTCAGATAAATATTGATCGCGAACACGAAAGCCATTAGAGCAGCTTTTCTTGGACTGATCAACTGCGTAAAGAAGAAAAGATCATTTTTGGGGAATCTGAAGGTCTGAGGGCCGTGGGATGCTGGAAAGATCCAACCGTTCGTTCGAAGTCGGATCTTACGACCTGCTCCAGAACGGAGATGTGATGCGTCGCCGGCCTGTAGTCCGAAAAGTCCACGACCGGCAAGAGGGGATGGGATGGCTGGCACGGGCAGGCGACAGTGATGTGCGTTCGGCGGCAGGAGACCGTTGGGGACGAGGCGGGGTTCTGCCCGTGGCCTACAAGAAGCAGAAGCAGAGGGGGTGAGTTTTGCCGGTGGCAATCGAAGCGGCCTCTGACGATGGAATGGTCGGACCCTCGGAGGACATAACTGCGCCGCGGTCCGAGGTAACTTGTCGAAGAAGGTCTCGGACACATTTGTGGGGGTTTTAGGTAACTTTGCGCTGTTCATTTTTGCGCACCGGGACCGAGCGAGCTGCAGGTGTTTTGTCCGAGAGCACCAGAAAAGTCGTGGTTCGTTTGTTTGCCGAACTGCATCCGGCTTCTCAAAAGATTCGTTCATTGTTTCTCTTTTCGACTGGACTTCGTTCGTCTTGAGCCTTTTTGACCTAGTATCACGTGTGTGTCGCGTCGGTTCTGGAGTCTGATCATCTGGCGAATTATCCGGAAATGGCTCCGGGAGGAAACGTCCCGTTTCGAGAGGAGAATGAGAGCGCATTTGGTGCCTGTAGTGAAACAGACATCGGAAGTTATACTCGTCTTCTCATCTGCGGATTGGCCTCTCCGAACGAAAGATCAGAGAGGCCGTATGATCCGGATGGAGTACGCATGCGGAACGATGGGTTTGGTGGAACTGATATTGGATCAAAGACTGAGGCAACTTGCAAACGAAGAGGCGAGACCTTGAAAAGGAAATATCCACCGGGTGCGATGGGGAAGAAGACGGCTTCTCGGAAAGCTTTCTTCGAGCAAGAATACGACACCATGAGATTAAACACATTGAGCATTCCAGACGGTAGGTACGTTGTGGAATCGATGAACCAGTTTGCGAGAGCGAATTCGAAGCCAGGAGTGGCGTTGTGTTTCCTGGGAGGGAGCGGTGCCGTTCGCAACCTGAAGCTCGAAGGGCCTTGGAAGAATGACATTCGTGTGGAAGGAAACGCTGAGATCGTTACCATCTCGAGAACCTTTCAAACTGATTGGGCCGGAACATTGAACTCTACAAGTCTAGCTATGATGGTCTCGAATGATTCGGGAAACTTGTTTGGCGGAACTGTGGAGGGAGACATGCAAGCTGTGGGTCCTGTTACCCTCACGGCTTATCTTTTCATGATTTGACACCATGGCTTGACTTACCTGTTAAAGACAGGAAATCTGTAGATACTGTGATATAGGACTTGGGTATCATGTCTCTCACTGATTTGCATATTTCTCTCTGTACATACTCCTTCATCGACTTGCTTCTTGGCTTGGAAATGCCAAGGAGCAATGATTGAAATTTACAATGGATCAATCTATGACCATTGGGCGTACTTGGATCGATTGGGCGTATTTTTCAGACATTGCTCTGTGGCTTTCCTTCCTCTACAGGCCGAAACATTGAAATCTACTTGCAATTTATTTGTTATCATTTCATTGACCCAGCGCAAGATATTCCATTTATGTGATGTTTCATGGATCCAAGAAGGAGTTTTATCTCACGTTTATGCATCCGAGTCCATGTCGTGCTCAAGCTCAAGTTTGAGTTTTCTCGATGCTTTAGTGTGAAAAAATACCTCTAAGCAAGAGCCTCACATGACATAGTCAAGATTGCATGCGTCATGTGTGCAAAGATGTCGTTCTCAAAGAGCAGAACCAAGTCTTTTTTGTAAATTTGTTCCAGTTTTTCTAAATAGACTTCATTTGAAGCAATAGAGTATAAAATGAAATAAATAATACGAAAACTAACCCCGGCGATTTCAAAATGCCGATTTTTGATTTTTCGTTCAAACAACGCAAGTGTTTTAGCTCTCACTCAGCGATTTCTGGAATTTAATTACAGTTTTAAACAAACCACGAAGATTATCATAATTCAACAAATACCATTGTTTCTATCTTGGATGCATCCACATGTAGTATAACTATCCTTGCAATTAAAACGGGCTCTAGCTCATATTGCAATATTACTTTCAATCATTATCACATACGAGTGCCTAATAAAAAGTTGAGTCGTTTTGATTCACTCGTCCCATCGTTTTTGCTGTATTACTTTATGCCCACATCGTTTTCTAAGGACGTCAGTTTCAGTGCAAACAACTTGAAGCTAGCTAGTGGCAGCTCTCGATGATGACGGGAAAGTAAGTTGAATGGAACTTTGACCAAAGAGTGTGTACCACCTCACAAGCCTATCCAAACAGTTATCAGGCTTGGGAGTTTTCCCTCACCCGTTAGTGTGGACGTCCATACTTTCCTTCCAGACCAGTCTATGTGAAACTGGTAAATCTACACCGGATCTGGCTGCGACAGAGACGAACGTATTTGCCTCAAAGATTTGGAAAGGAAATGCTACACGCGCCCAAAAAGAATCTTGATTCTGATTCCAGAGAAGCACTTACAAGATCAGTTTGGTGTAGTTTGTATAGAATCAGTCCACTTGACAGTTGGGTCCAGGCTTTAGTTCGGCGGAATTCTTCAGCGGAAGATCATTCCTTTCTTAGGAGCTACAATTCCATCTATCTTGAACAGGTTATGACTTTGTCGAGACCCACGTTATAACGTTTTGTGCGTTTTAATTGTCAGTGATGGAACGCGATTCTACATAATGTACGAGCAGAAGATGAGAAAGATTCGTGCACTAGAACTCAAGAAGCGTCAATCTATGGATGTGCCACGGGAAAATGCACAAGCTGATAGAGTTGAAGTACATGAGATGAAGCATCTTTGTAAGATCTCTAGTATGAATATTTGCAAATGCCAGGAGTCGTTTGATCAATTGTGAACATTTAGATCTTCGCACTCGATGTGTACAGCTTGACCCGAGATATATTCATCAGCTAGAACAAACAGCAGACGCTTCTGCATGGTGTTGTCCTCGGAGTTATTCAATTAGTGAGCTCAACATTTAAACCTCGAAGTGGACCACGAGGTTCATGCTCAGCAAGAAACTCTCAAGGGAAGAATTTCAGCTTGTTACTACAGGCTTCCACCACTGCCTCGGCCAGCTGTTGAGCAGCCGGGCTGACGATTTCATCGTCTTGCAGTTTTGAGAGCACCGCATTCTGCAAGACTGCGGATTCCTCTTTCGCTGCTAACAGAAGCAGTGTCATGATATTCTGCATAGACTCCATCACGAATGGCGGATGTTGATCACTCGCGACGTCAAATAACACGGTGAACAGTTTGAGAAGGAGATCGACACAATTCAGGTCCAGCATGATCACGCAGGACTCGACGTGCGCAACCGATTCAAGAATTCTGATTCTCCTCGGATACCAAGGACTAGCGATGTCATTCACTCCTTCGAAGACGTTCACGAGCAGGCAAAACATGCTCATCAGGGTACCATCGTCATACGGAGAATGCGGAGCGGCGATGCGCATTACTTCGGTGATGCAAAATGCCACGAGCAACTTCACATGCTCGTCCCGATGATTCAATAGGGGAGCTATAGCCAGCGCCCCCGCACAAGCCTCCACCGCTCTCATCGTCGAAGTCGGGGGATACTGCTTCAAATCTTGAAGCAGGAGAGCCGCCTTCTTCAAAATGCTGAGCAACCCTCGCTTCGGCTGCGGAAGCCCCAACTGCTTCCCGATGTCCACCAACATTTCCTCTATCTGCTCTCTCATCCTGTCCAGGTAGAGGAGACTGGCACGATGGTCGAGAATCCAGGAGATTTGAGTCCGCAGCCTCCGGTCACATCATGTCCTGACACATATGCACGCTTGGCCTAGTTATGCCCCGAGTCACGAGACCAGCTGCTTTTATACGAGCTTTCCGCCACTAGGTTCACTGACAGTTACACTAAATAAATAAATTAAATTGTTTTTGGTAATTAGATGATTGATGAATAAATTTTGTGGGTATGTCTGGAGTGAATATTTCATGTTACCGTGGAGTTTTGTTCTAGGTACTGAACATAAGACTTAGCGACCGGTCACACCAAGGATCCGCGTTTAATCTCCGCCGTCGATTAGCATTTCAAGAACACGCCCCCCAGATGAATGCTGCGAGGAATCTGTCCCGATGAGACCGCCCGAATTCAGGATGACACTGCCTGTCTCCGGCTCATCGATCGGGTATGACGTGGATTTGTGTCTGACGATGATGTGTACTTGCCGCCTGCCGTTTGACCGCGGACTGCGTAGAGAGGTCAGCTACCATGTAAAGAAAGACTGCATGGATCATCTTGCCGTGGCGCGATGGAAAGAAAGGAGCACGCATCGGCGTTCTCGCGATCGATGGGTCAGTGGAGAAGAATTCGCAGACATAAATCTAAACCGTCTTGGTGAAATCGAGAGGCGAAAATTCTCGCAGCGGGACATTTGCCCTTGTCTCTTCCCGTAGAAGATTCAGAAGTATTTCGCGTTGCCTATTTTTTTGTGAAGCTTCCCAAGCCAGAGCGCTGTGTTTAACATTTTCCAGCAGGAAGGAGGCCGGCCCCGTGTATGAAGTCCTCAACACTGCACTGATCTGATTTCATATATAATCTCAAGCCTCACAGTGTGAATGAGTAACAATTAGCTGGACCCAAAGGTGGTATGCAGGTCATGAGAACAATATTAGAGTTGAAATAAATTGAATAACCGGTATCGAGGGCCCAACACCGCTATTAATATTCTCTCAACGAATTTTTTTTCAATGAATTTACGATGATCTTACGGAATAAATTTAGAAATTTTCGATATGATACGTGACAAGATTTTTGTATAATAATCATACCACCTAAAAACGAGGAATAATTACACCACCTAGAAGAGCTTTCCTTTTGGGAGAAGTTAGAGGAACGAATGACTGCAGGGCGAAAGGACGGCAGTCATAATCTGAACCAATGATGACCGTATCAGACAAATATGAGTAAAGTGAGCACGATATTAGGCGAATGCAAGTGGGTTATGATTACATTTGGAGAGAGAAATCGCGTGCTTTGGATGGACTAGGGCCCTGATTCGACAGCCATTGTCAACGAGGAAAATGACCGACAACCATTCTGGAGGCGGTTATGACCGGCTCTTCCGGGAAGCATCACAACTGAGAGAGAGGACGCGTTGGGTTTTGACCGGCTTGCCTCGACGATGGGCAAGTTGTGAAATGTGAATATAGAGCGGCTTCTGCGGGTTGCGCAGCCGTCAGCTAGTACTTACAGTCGAATCTAAAGCGGGGACGAGACTGATTCGCGAGGCATTTCGCCGAGTACAGCTGATCCAATGGACTCACGGGGAGAGAAGCGAAGTGGCTCCTCTCACGTACGAGCATGAGATCCGGGGTTGACGTGAACAGCCCTGTGGAGCTAACCAAGTCCCCCCCATGCGACTAACCTCAGTTCCTCATTCAGCGAAGAGCACGGGTGAACACCCGTGAAGCTTTGAGGCAAATTCTTTTATCATGATGATGGAGTTCTAGGCCTTCCGGTGTACCCGACATACCAATCCACAGCCGGGCCTCCGTACATTGAGCTCTGCTCCGATGGAGATGGTGTGGTTCTTGCCCTCGGCCTGATTCGACGACCTTCAGGACGCAGAGCTATCAAGCTACCTCGATCGTACGTCCCCGTCAGAAGGTCACCGAACGGGCAGTTCAATGATTGCCTACTTGAAATTGTAGAGGGGCATGTAAAAGCAACACATTAGAAGTATGAGCTTGCGGTGTTACCAGTAGAAAGGGCAAGGTGTTGTATTAATGGTAGAGTTTATGCCTGCCGTAAAGTGGTAGCACGGGCAGGTCAAGAAACAAGAGAAAGTTGCTTTTAGGTAGACCATGCAATTGTTAATACTGCGACCTTGATAAGAAGAAATTAACTTGACCCGGCCCAGTTCACACTGGGCCGGGTCCAAACCTAGTTAGGGCCGGCCATAGTTAGTGTGACTAGCGAAGCCAATGAACGAATGCGTGGTTGGGACTCCAGAAGGCTCGGTACGATCTAGCAAGGAGCGAAGAAAGGGATGGTGCATCAGAGGACCCCCACACTTTTGAGGTTGGTACGTGAGGTTATGCTTGTCGTAAAGCGGGTTGGCAACGAAATTCAGCTAAAACTTACCGGTGGCGAATTAGGCCTAGAAGTGTGTTCGCCGTTCTACTCACTTTGTTCTGTTGCAGTAGTCATAAGGGGGAGTTCGAGTTGTCTTTCGTAGGATAATCTACTCTTCCAAGTTGTAGATTGCCGAGAGTGATACTTTCATGAGTGCATTTCTGCTCTGTCATTGTCGACTGCAGCTCTGACTTCCGGTGAATGAAAAGGGCGTTGCAAAGGACAAAGGCAGTCCGTGGGAAGATCATGCGAAGGCGGCATCATCTGCACTGGTGAATGGAGGGTTTCGATGCGCTATAAATTGTACGTGCCTCGGATTGTCCAAATTGCCTTGCAGGCTCTTTCCCCTCCATGAGCTTCGCCTGACGGCCTACTGGTAGGCTTTCAGTTTACTTCTCGTCACATGTCCCTTGAGTCTCCATGGATGTCAGATTTCGTCCGTTCGATAGGTCCATGTTATATATATACGTCATCTTACCTCGTCCTTCTAAAAATCGTAGTTCCAAGACATTCTTATATGATGATTCACCGGAGACAGATCTAAGCTGGAGCTCATCCATAGATACTGAAGAACATCTCCAGAGCGGAAATCCCTCTCATAGTTCGCTTTGTACACTCTCCTTATGTTCCTCCTCACGAGAAAGCTATGGAGTCTCTGTACATGTTCATGTCGAATCTCTCCGCCTGGTTTGTGTTTTCTTCTATGGTTCTGGCCGAATATACTGCTAATCATTGAGATGAAGCTCCGCCATCACGAGCAACAGCATACATACGCTTGTATCATAGTATTTGGCGGCCGTGATAGGTTTGGGCTCCCTGGTTACGTGCATCCCAAACCAGGAAGACGTCAGTCGCGAGAGTCAGCTTATACTTGGGATTACTGATCTGGAAGAACAGAGAAGACGCAGGTGGGATTCACTGTGACTGTTTCGACCGCATTCTGCTTGGGGCCGTGAACTTGAACAGCATGGAAGTTCAGAGATCAAGAACCAGGAGAACCGGAGGCTCTCTGCCTGCAGGTAGCTCCAGCCAGCCGAAAGCAAGCATCGGTCGATCCCGGAAGGCCCATAGCAGGGTGGAACAGATCGTTGCAACGTACGTCTACACAGACGTGGACAATTTTCGTGCCTTGGTGCAGCAGCTAACTGGAGATCCTTCAACGAATCCATCATCGCTTCCTCAGACTCCTGATCTGAAGGAGAGCGAAGGAAGACTCCAACGTCATCTCAGGATGAATAGCATTGCTACGTCCGACCTCGGAAGAGATAGAGCAAGTTTGAAGAGAGCGTCTACTCCAAAATTGTTCGAGCGAAGGAGGAATGCAAAGAACCTGGAGGTGACAAAGCTGGCCACGGGGCCTTCCATAGCTAATTTAAATAGCGCTACGATTGCGAAAGGATTCCAGATTTGTCCAAACTCCCATAGTCCGATCTCGATACTTAACGCATTCGAATTTTTCTCAGATCAGAGCAGTAATATGACGAGCCCACTTGGGTATACCAATCGCCCTTCAGTTCCAAACACTCCCACATCCAATTTCAATATCAACAAAACCATACTGGAACCAGAGCTAGAGGATGGCCCATCCGGCGAAGAGCCAAATCAGCCGAGACTTCTTCAACTCTTTCCACTCCACTCTAGTCGTTGATTTTTTAGAGTATCAGCAGAATCAGGTCCACCTTTAGCATGGATCGATTTGGATGGTACTACATCTGATTTTAATTATGTATATACATGCACAGTCTGGAGTTTGGCTCATCTCTTGATTCGATTCAGGGTATAGACTGTCGACAATGGCAGGATGAGATATAAACATCTGTATTAAATTCTAATTACGATGCCAGCAATGCAAGGTATCATGATAAGCTTGCCTTCCATAGGGTGTTTCTTACAAGATGCAAGCATTTATAACAAAAGGCTCTTCTTGTGATCATGTAAACGTAGAGATGAAATTAGTTTCGAGCTGATGTCCACTCTTTTCGATTTATTTCATTGCTGATTGGGACACAATGGGTTGAATTACATCCAGAAAGACAATCGACTCGAAGGAAAAGACAATGATTTGTAGAAAACTTCTTAAATATATATAATTAGAGTTTGTGCCTTCGATGATTTTTTAGTTTCGCAAGACTAATACTTGACATGACTCTACAAACGGGTAGAGTTTCCATCAAGGCTTTCAAGTGCCATCGTTTGCGAGATGTCCTACAAGGGAAGAGCCAAAAAGCACGGAGTTAGAGTAGAGTCATGTAGCTGCTTGTCAGTGGACAATGATTTGTCTGTTATTAGACAACTTCTTAATTAGTTATTTCTCTAGGTCATGCCTTCGATCGATTTCTAGTTTTCGCAAGACACATACTTGACAGGACTCTATAAACGGGCAGAGTTTACCATAAGGCATTCAAATGCCTTGGTTTGCGAGATATCCTACAAGGGAAGAATAGAGTCATGTACCTGCTTGTCTGTCGCCACATATAATGCTATTTTGACACAAGTTTATTCGAGCTCAGTAGATTTTAAAGATCTAAAGTAATCATCGTATCTATTACCCAGGCCGAGAATCGATGCAATTTCACGAAGTTAGATTATGAGGCTTCTCTGTCTTCAGAGATAATGCATTAGATTGCATTTGACAAAACGGCTTATTACTTATAGTTGAAAGCACAATATAGTGGAAGGAAACAATATGAACTTCTTCATATGGTGGGATACCTGGCTAACGTTGTGAATTCCATGAGAACTCCATAGTATAATAGTATTGTTATGCTCTTGAATTATGCTCGTTCGAAATTCTGTAGTGTATAACATCTCAACGATAGCAATATTTTAATGATCTTGAGAGAAAATCGTCCTCATAGATCTCTCTGAATCTGACTATTGATATTTGAAGCACAGCACAATAGATTACTCTAATGTTGTAAACCATCGCTTGAAACACATGTAGTCTATGAGTTCAATGCACCTGTACATGCTATATTTTTATTATTTAACAATATTTAGAGAAATAAGAAATTAAGTATTTTCCCCCTAATGTAGGAAGATGAGATTGATAACAATTGATTGAATTGAATCAGGAATTATATAAGACATCTCATACCCAGTCTCAACGCACCAATTGAATCAGAATTGAATCAATCCGTAAGATTGAAGAACAGTAAGAAAATAGATTTGTCAAGATATAACATTGAATATTCGTGCATAATATAGTTCAATGTATGTTGTATGATGCATCGGGCTATTTTACTTCAATCTATCATTCCCGAGGCGAACTCGCAACGCAAAAAAACTCTAAATACTACGAACTACTTGCCATTATCTGGGATCTTGGCTCATGATTGCGTCCTCGGTCGGTGCTAAAATTGGTGTTAAGATGGCGCACCTTCATGCAACCTGATCCAAGTAGGGTACCAGAACCTGATTTTCCTTGGACACCAAACCAATTTACATTTAGTCATCAAATAAAATTTTACCACAGTTTGTTTTATTTTTTAAGGTATTCTTTAATACTAATTATAGAATGAAAGAACTCCTATGTGTGCATGTATATAGCGACAGATGGAGTTTTATACGAGTGGATGTGACATGAAACTAACCTGGGGATGATGGTCTAGAGTCACCATGGGCATTTCAAGTGAAGTCCCACAACCTCGTCGAAGGTCCAAACGGTGTGATTAAAAAATCTGTGAAGACATGAGAAGGTGATTCAAACTTAGTTATATCTACTTTATTCAGTTTTTCGAATAAAGTAGATATATTAAAGAGAATTACTGACCCATGATATCAAATCTTCATATCCTTGATGACTAGCTGTTAAGATATATTTGGCACAAAGAGTCTTAAAAATAAACAAATTGATAAAAAAAATGAATACATCAAAATTTGAGAATAATAATAGTATAAATGCAAAGTGTATTCTTATTGGTATATAAACATGTTTGAAGAATTTAAAATAAAATAATTTAAAAAATTGCATAAAATTAATAGTAATTTTCAAAAGATTTGGAAACACTCGTAAAGTATTTTCTAAATTGTAATTATAAATAATTTTTTCGAATTTTTTAGACTTATATACATTTAATTAATAAAATAAAATCCTAAAAATATTAATAAATTCTTGCGAATCATGATCTGACTCTAATAAATAAAATATCCAATGAAAACATATGATATATATATATATATATATTTTCCTATGATTGAGACTATCCAAAATCTTATGGTTTATAGTCTCAAAATTTACTTTTACTCAAAATCTCCCAACTGTTGCCGGTGGGGAGTCCCAAAATCTTGACCTTTATCTAAAGCCTTGTTTACAATTTGATTCACAAATTCAAGTGATTCTGTGAGAATTTAGAATTTACACAGCTCTGCATTTTCGGTCCAATCTTGAATCCACCGGGGTCTACCTGATACTGGAATAGCTCTCGACTAACAGAAGCTTCAAATGTCATGATGTTAATTATTGAATAAAACGCTGGATAACATGTGAAGATCATCACTCATCATAGACCATTACAAAAACCCTCAAAGTGTTGATGATAGCGATCGAGATGAGACGGACTGGTCGTTACTAGTACAACCAGGTCAAGTAGTGAGAGCAACCTCGGGTAGTGGAGATCGATACTGACATCAAGTCGACAAAAGTGCATGTCTTGGAGTCCCATGTTAAGTAACTGAATGCAGAATTGTAATTATCTAATTGATTATGATATTGATTTGTATGATCTAGACTAAAATTATAGAGAATATACAAATAACTGATATTAATGAAATACTATATATTACAAGCTTCGGTATATAGAAAGGTCTGGTCTACTGCTATGCACCTTTCCTTTCCCGAATACGATGGTTTGCTAAGTCGTCTTACATCTCTATAGTAGATTATAAATCCAGTCTGCAGACTACAGAAACCTTCGGGTTACTGGGATGATCTGTGTAATAACCCACCAAAGGCTAAAACTCTAGTATAGCAGCAAAAGGTCGAACCCACAGGGACAGAGGCAACACATGGAGTACTAAATGTCATGTTTTAATAGACTATTGAGGAGTTTGAATTCTCAGGCTATTGTTACTCCCAGAAATACTGTATGTGCTCAACTCGGAGGACGCACAATGCAGCGTAGTTCACCCCAATACACACCTGAAACTATAAAAGCACAACTCAGAGGTCGGTTAGGACCTCTACTTAAGATTCAGGAGGAAAGTTTCCCAAGAGTACACTCAAAGGATCTACAGGTAGTGACCCCCAACTCCGAATTTACAACCCTTCCACTAGTGATTGCTAGCGTAGGGCATCCGGGTTGGACTTCCTACTTCGGATGCGGTATCTTCGTCAAACCGAAGTCACTCTCACGCGGTGAACAACACACTCAACTCACAAAACGCGCAGAGAATACAAAAATCCGAACTGAGAAACTGAGTTGAGAAAAGATCAAATGTCACAACTTAACACTCTATTGACAAGTTTGAATTCTCAGGCACTAATCATTCCCAGAAATACTGCGGAGGTTACCCCCGAAAGGCGCCTCAAACAACGTAACACACACACTTCAACTTTGGCATTCAAGGGGAAAAATCCCGAAGAAATACAAATAGGGAAAATCGTCCGAAGATGTAAGTCCGAATTTCAGATCATGACTAGACTATGTGCTAGCTCAGAACATTCAGCCGAAGGCCTTCAGCTGTAGGCTGCAATAACTTTGACAATTCTACAACTCCTCTTGCGCGGTGACAGAACGAAATACACAAAAGAGCAGAGGAAACAACTTCATGAACTGAACTTCCAAAACTGGAAAATCCCCAAAGCAAAACGCCTTGAACTACTTTATACAATCTAAGATCCTAGCTAACTAACACTACGCTACGCTACACTTCATCTGCTATGCCTCCTATGCGAAGGCCGACTGCGCACTAACTCCCTACCCGACCAGTCTTCGGCTCTATTGCGCAAACCCAACCGCCGCAACACAGCGGTCACTTCTGCCTCAAGGTTCGCAATTGCGTCTCGCGACCTCGACAGAAAGGAATCCAACCGCTTTGCTACGCGCCGCCGACTCCAACTGTCATCCGATGTCAAAGCCGCCGCACAAATCTCCAACTCGCGCAAGGTGACTCTCTCCCGCGCGGCAATCTCCCAGCGAGTATAACCTCTAACACACCGGTTCACTCGCGCTACTAACTCCTCCCGCGTGCAATCTGTTGCGCGTCGGTTGTCGCCTTCAAACTCCACCAACTGCAGCTCCGCCTCCGCACGATGCGCTCTCAATTTGTCGCATTGCGATTGCAGGCGACGCAGTAACTCCTCGTCCGCCTTGCGTGCGATGTCACTTTGCTCCACCAACCGTGTCTGCCGCACGAGCTCCTCTGCCAAGCTGCAATTCTGAGCTCGTTTAGAGTGGAGCTCCGCCTCGATCTTTGCGCGCTGCTTCTCAAATTTGCGCTGGGCCTCTGCCGCTGCGTCATCGCGCAGCTGAAGGGCTGTCTTGTGTAGCCTCAAGAGAGTGTAACATGTCCCTGCAGGACATTGTTCTTCTCCTCCAGCTCCCGGTACTTCTGGTCCAGGGCGATCAGCTCGGGATTCATCGCTACCTTAATCCGCGTCCGATTCCTGACCAATTCTACGTAGGATCCCCGATGGCGGGGATCCGCATACCTCGCTGCCTTGCGATCTAGGTAGCGCAGTAGCGGTACTACCTACTTGCAAAGCACTCCCGTTAACGTGCCTTGCACCGACTCCACTTCATACTCTAATCCCGTGTAGTACTCTGTGTCAAGGATCTTTGTCGCTACAGAAATCCTTGGTGATTCTTTGGAACTGGATCGCGCAGCTTCTTCTGCCGCGACCACCGCTCCACTTCCTGCCAACATCTCCAACGAGGTGGGAGATCTCGCTTACGGCGGGCCTACTTCACCTGCCCGAACTGCTACCACCGAAGGCGTCTACTGCCGAAGGCGGTCGTGCCGAAGGCACACGTGTCCTCTCCTTCCTGCCTTCGTCCTCCGCAGATTGCTCAAGTTGGGTCTGCGCCAAAGGCGCTTCCGCCGAAGTCTTCTGAGCCGAAGGCTCTTTCATACTCTGCTCTTGCGCCGAAGGCTCTTGACCCAAAGTTGAGTCATCGAAAGGTACTTGCTCAGAGGCCAAGCACCTGTCCGTCGAAGGCACGTTGGCCGATGCCGCATGCTGTCTTCCTTGACCCGAAGGCCTTTGTGCTTCCTCCGAAGGCGTCCGTGCCTTCGGTGCAGGGAGATCCGCTGTCCTCCCAAGAACTCTTGCACTCGCATCCTCCCCCGAGGATGGCAAGTTTCTTCTCTCCGCGGCTCGTCGGGTGTCCGCGCTACTCGCCGGCAGAACAAGCTTGCGAGCTTTCTGCTTCGGCGGACTGGAGGGCTCGTGGGTCGCCCGACTTCGGGCGGGAGCAGCGGGCACTTCTCGCTGACTCTGGTCCGCCTTCCCATCCCATTTCTGCTTCCGCGGTACTCGTACTGCCCGCGGTTTTTCCTCTGCTCGCGGTCGGGCTGGTGGTGTGCAAGCGGGCGTTTTGTCGGTGTCGGTGTCAATCTCGACATCCTTCACGTATCTGCCCGGATTGCTGCGTGACAGCAAGGGAAACTGCACTCGCTCCGACGCTGTCAAACACCCCATCGACCGATAGAAAATAATCAAGAAGGGGGAGAGATGATTGATCGATCCCCCCTTCTCCTCCTGCGCATGCTGTCGCGTTGCCTTCCACAGAATCCGAGCCCAATGAATCGGAGTTCCCGTCAACGCCAGCTCCACAAACCCCACCTGCCAAGAAGTCATGTAGGTGGTCCGGTGCGGCTTTAAAATCTGGAGGAGTGCTACCGCGACATTCCTCCGCATGCGTTCCTTGTAGTCACGGGTCTTGTACCTGTTCTTGCTTGACTTGCTGTTCTTGAAAAGGGCACCAAAGGAAATTTCTTCTTAATTCGTGACCTGCACACTCTCGCATTCGAAGAGAAGGTCGCCTTCCTCTCCCGCGCACCTGCCACCTCTCCGGATGCGGTCAAAAACCGCACGGAGGTTGGTTCCTCTCCCGCAGCCACTCGCATACCATCTCCGGGCACACCCAATTCCATCCCCATAGGAGGAAATCGAGCTTCACCGCCGACAGCTCGTTCCGTCATGCGCGCAGTCCGATCTGCGGTACTTTCAGCGGAACCATCCGCAGCTGAGTTGACCTGGCCATCTTCTTGCAAGTTCGTGCGCACTCACTTTCTCTGCTGACGCGAACTTCTTGCAACTCTCTCCACACTCGGCTACTGCGCATCGGAAGCTCGGCGAACTCTTGATAATTTCACTCTACACTTCTCAAGCACTCACTCAATCTTTCCGCGAGCTCTCCGCTAACTCTTGGTGTACTCGTGTCGCGAGCTCGGTGTGCGCACTCCAGCAATCTCTCCGTGCAAGTTCTCCGAGAGCTATTGCGATTGCACCCTCTCGAAAATCTGCACACTCTCCTCACACTCAGCGATCACTCCGCAAGTTCTCAGAGATTTCTCCTGCTGCGCGTCGCGAGCTCGGACGGATGCGAAATTGAAAATGCGAGAGTGAGAGTGAGAGTGAGTTCTTCCTTCGGCGATCAAGATCGCCCAACGTTCGACACTTGGACTGGCCGCGGCCTGCTTGAATGCGATTCCGGCGCGGAGGCGTAACGGCCCAATTCGCACGCTCGAATTCACGCTCCGCCGTTGCGCAGACTCCCACGCTTGTACGTTCAATCTTGATTCCGCCGATTTCTGCCGACGCCGTTCTCCATTCGCGTACCGCCGAAGGCGCTTGTGCTGAAGGTACGGACTTCCACCGACTCCTTTGTCTTTTCTTCTTGCGCCAAAGGAGCATACTAGAGGCGAAGGCATTCCTTCCGCCGAAGGCGAAACCTAAGGACGAAGGCGGCGCTAGTGCTGAAGGTGTTGGGGCGAAGGAACCAACCGCCAAAGGCATACGGCCGAAGGCGAACAAAGTGACGGGGTCGTTTTCCCTATGACAAAGGCGCTCGTTGCGCATGCTTCGTACGTCTTCAGCGACAGATACTCTGGAGGTGTCTGCGCCGAAGACACCTCACAAAAGTACTTGTTGCCAAAGGCGCTCTCCCCAGCAGGAACCGTCTGCTCCGTCCAAGGCGCTGGACCTCGGCCTAAGCCCCTTCCAACTCCTGGATTCTCCGTGACCCGCGATTTCCCTTTTTACTCTATTTTTCGTACCGATTATTATTTACAGTTGCTGCCGCGGTAATTATTTTTCAAAAATATTTTAATTCCGACCAAAAACAAAAAGTGTGTTACCACAATCTGGTAATGCCCCACATTCTATTATTTTCTCTTAACACTGCAGGTGTCTTCATTGCTCACTAAATAATCTTCTCTTCCACTCTCCATTTCCAGCTCACTATGAGCACCAGAGTACATTCACATCTATAACTAGCTGCAACATATATTGGAACATTTTAAACTTTACATTATCTAGTATAAATTTAAGGGTGTGAAATTGACTTTAATTCTCATGAACACATGAATTTTTCAAAGTGATTCTGAACCGTAAAGCTGAAGTACGTGTACCACGAATTTTGTATGTCAATTTTCGAAGTCAATTACAAGAGTATAGGGTTACAATTACAAGGGAATTCAAGGTTTCTTGATTAATAACGATTAAGTCGTCTTCGATGTGCTCGTACAGTTCGCCTTGTGGTAGCTGGTACTTCTAGGATCATGCCTCCTCCATTTCTTTACAATATTCGATGAGAAGTGACCAGCCTCGACTTCCAGATTGAACGACAGCATACAAGATTTACACGTCGAATTGCAAACTGACACCAGACTTGTAGCCCGTGGTGAAACCAGTATGAAAATTTTCACGTTTATTAAATTGTGGGAAAAATAGAAGCAGAGGCTTTAGCACAGAGCTCTTAAATGCAGAACTTCATGTTTCTAAACATACAAATTTCCGATGATTCTGTGGAATCAGAGTTACAGAACCATGTTCTTTCGGGCCGATCTGGACTGCTGCGGGGCCTGCCGAACGACGAAACTGCTCGCGAAGAACAGAAAATTCGAGTGGCATGATCTCAACAAGAGTGTGAACGAAGACGTCAAAGCGGAGCTAGGCATAAAACATTTTTTGTAAAACGTTGTCGTGAATCTTCGGAAGGGCCGACAAACATCGTTCGTCGTGCTCCGCGGCTCGGACAGTGGAATCCGAACTGGAATCCGACGTGTCGACGAAGTTCCGACAGTGAGCTGCGGCCACATGCGCGTAGTATGCGGGAGCGACGACGGAGACCGCGGACGTGCAGCGCGAGTACGTGTAGCACAGGCCGTGAGTGAGTTGCTGGATGTCATCGGCGCTGAAGCCGATCTCGTCGCACAGAACGTGGTAGTGCGTAGGGCGAGACGTTCCGATGGCAGCGTGGCTGACCATGTAGAAGTCGTAGTGCCGAGGATGGCAGACGACGCGGTCGACGACGGTTCCCGGGGCCACGTTCCCGAACTGGGCGTCTTGGAAGAACCGCGTGTGGTGCTTCTTCTGAACCACGACGAAGGTGATGCGAGGGTCGTAGTCCTTCTCCAAGGCCCGGCACGCCGCCTTGAAGGCGCCCACCTCCTGATCCAGAACCTCCCGGAACTGCGACTCGCTCACGCCGTCGCGGAACACCAGAATCTGGCGCGGCTTCCGCTCCTCCAGCGGCCGGCCCGCCGCCGCGGACTTGAGGAAGAACTGCATCAGAAGCTCCTGAACCATGCCGGCGTCGCGACCGTCCCCGGTTTTCTGGAACAGGCCGGCGACGATCTCCTCCTTGGGCTTCTGGGCGCGGATGCTGCAGGCGTACCGCGAGAACCGCGGCCACTCGACGGTGGCCACCGCGGCGGCGACGGACGGCGAGTCGCAGTCGCCCGGCGGGCCGTGCGAGACATCGAGGCCGAAGATGATGGTGGGCACGAGGGAGATCTTCGGGAGCGTCTTGCCGTCCTCGCCGGCGAGCACCGAGTTGTAGCCGCCGAGCTTGAGGTTGAGTTTCAGGCAGACGCTGGACAGGTACTTGGCATTGGCTTGCCCGTTGGGCGGCACGATGCACTGCGTCACGACGCCAATCTGCGTCTCGCAGATCTTCTTGAACGGGACGTAGAGGTCGGGCGACTTCTCAGGGAGGATGGCGACGATCAGCGGCCAGCGCGCCGCCGGCACCGGCGCGCCTCGAGCGTCGCGAACGGCGTCGCGCAGCCGGTCGATCATGGCGTCGACGCGCTGCGCCGGGCTCCGGCGCTCGTGATCGCCGTCGCCCTCCTCGAAGACCTCGAAGGCCCCGAGCTTCATGCCCTTCTTGGCCGCCACGTCCACGAGGTCGCTGCCGATCTTCTTCGTGTCCAGTCTCAGAGTGCGCCGGCTCTTGAACCAGACCACGATCCACTTGCTCGTGCTCGCGGGCCGATTCATCTGCCGATCGACATTGAAGTTCCATCTCCCGTTGCGCGGCGTCTCGCGGTGGTTCTTGGCGAATTGGAGCTGCGGCGGATCCAGCACGCGACCCTCGAGCCGCACCATCTTGTCGTCGATGCGAACGTCGAAGGCCTTGACCATCTCGTCGTCGTGGAATTTGTTCGTCTGCATCATGGCGTCGATGGCCCGCACGCGCTGGTCCGGGTTTTGCTTGCACTCCCTGATCATCCCCTGCCTCTGGATTGTGGTGAGCGCTCTCCTGTACCTCTGCCCAGGCGCGATCGAGCAGTGCTCCATGGGAAAGTACGTGGGCCTGCCCTTTCGCCCCACATCCAGGGCTCGCTGGAAGGGCGCCTTCAGGGCGACGCCCTTCACCTTGGTGTAGTAGTCGGCCACCGTGATCTCTTCGAAATCGTCGATCGTGTCCGGCGAGTTTTTCTTCTTCATCCGAAACGTCTGAGAGCTATTTGCCGCTGGACTGAACCCGAGGATTTTGTGATTGCGTTCCTTCTGATGCTCGTTGTGGATCAGTATGCCCTTCAGCGCCCTCTTGCACTTGCCGTAATCTTCATCCGTGAATTGTCGGGTTTTCTTCCTGCACAATTCTTCCACGAACGCCTCAACTTTGCTCTCCTTGATCATAATCGTTGTGGCGGTGTCCAGATTCAACGACAGTCCATTCTGATTCAGTTTGAAGCTCGCGTGGTAGCCCTTCCACGTCTCTGCGCCCCCTTGTAAATCGACCACTCGCCCGAAGGCCTTACTGAAGAAACAATCGCGCTGGAGAATGTTGCCCTTCTTCGATGCATGCTCACGTATTATGATGTCCAGAACCCTGAGAGCATCCTGAGCTCTCTTGTCTGGCTCCCCACGAATGACAGCCGCCATGGTGGCCATATCTATGACCGCAGCGTAGGCCAGCTCGACGTTAAATGTAGGACTGGCCCGGCGGTGATCCGCCGGCAGGCTTACTTGATACTCTTTGAGTCTGATCTCGAGTTGCCCGGCCACGTACAGATTTTGGTCGCCATCGTACGCGAAAGGGAGGCCTTTGAAATCGATATTGTCGCGGAGAGCATCGACAACCTTACGTTTGACTGTGCTTCTCAAAGGTCTGTTCTCGTCACTCGTGACGTACACCTTGCAGCTGTAGTGCGTGACCGCCGTGCGAGGCTGGAATTTCACCAGGAAGTGATTTGCAACAATTCTGACTTGTCTGCCCATCTTTCCGTAGCCGGGCCTTGGAATCTGTTGTTTCGGAACCCCAGGTTCGGCTGTTTTTTCATGCTTAGATCTCTTTGCAGACTGCTCAGTAGTTGCGTCCACTGGTTCTGCTTTTGTTTTCAAGCTAGTCACCTTTTCTGCCATCTTCAAGGTCTGTCGTCTCAAAATATTGCACAACTTTTTCAGGATCCCGGAAGGTCAGCATAAAGATGGACCAGAGTAAAATTCAGGTAACCTTTTTCTAAAGCATTTCATTCTCCTAGTCGTCTATAGCTATCGAAATCAAAGCAACATTCCCGAGGAAACACTTTGCTACCAGTTAGAAGTTGTCGTTCTCAGTATCACGATTCACTACTGGTAAGCTCGAAGGTGATATCCCAGAACGTGCAGTTCATGTCTAACTGGTAGCCTCATACATCTCTTTCAGATACGCAAGAATTTATCATGCAACTGAAGATTAAAAATCTCGAGGTATCTCCGCCGCTTCTGGCTGTTGGAGTTCCTTCGGCGCTCAGAATTTGGAGATTCCTGCAGGTGAATCTGTAAACTACAATACTCGAACGTCATGCCACAAACGTTCGACTAATCCTTCACACTCCTTTGTCCTGTGAATATTGAACGTAAGAGTCTCTGGTGGCTGTGCAGGTTCAATTACGTTCTACGCATACTCGGAACAGAATGGAATAGCCAAGCGTCATCAACGTTCACAAAACTACTGGCGGTCCGCTTTACAAAGCTTTGCATGTTCCCCAGTCTGTTTGAGTATGTGGCTTCCAACTATTGTAACATGTTTATGTACCAGACCTTGTACGTGACCCTTGATTCGCTTTTAAGGTGTTCAACCAAGGAACAGTATGGTTTTCTTCATTCTTGTCAACCAGTCAACACTTACTCTCTTTTGCGAAGGGCTCAGACCAGGACGCATCGAAATTGTCGATCGACTGATATTGAATTATCAGTTACCTCCACTGCAGACCTGGATTTCATACCTGATATCCTGCTTGCGATCTCTTGATCATCTAGTAGTTTCATTACCTCTTCATATTTCTATAGTGTGAAATCGTAATTTTTCTTGGTAACGCTCGTTGATCAGTTAAATAGGGCCCTTGCAAATCTCTCAAAGAAGAACTGAATTTTAGAGGTCATAAATGTTTCACGGGAACGTAGGAAAAAGATCGTTCAAATAACTGAAAACCAATGGTTGCAAAACAATAGGGCCCCGGAGAGGTCAAGGGTCAAGGAAAGAGAATAGAAATTGCAGGCATCATGTCTACTATATATTATTATCATACTCTTTTCCTGTTTTTTCACATGGCCTCCACCATCATCAGCTTTGATGTCTCAAGATTGTGCAAACAAGAAAAATTGTTGTCTAGAGCAGAGCTAGAGGCAAACCCAGACGCTCTTGGAGCGTCTGGGTCTGCCTCTAGCTCTGCGGTAGACAACAATATCGGCTACCAACCCCGGATCCCAGATCTGAGTTGACAATGCGGTCATCGGATATCTCGACCCACAAGTGCAACTTATCCCACTTGCAAATGCTGCATGCATGATTGAATGCATGCATTGTATTGAAGTGAATCAGGGTGATTCGCAATTTTCTGGAACTGCCTGTACAGCAGACGCCCTCAAACAGCAGAGCGTGTACCATGTTCTTGGGTACAATTGCTCATACATACCGTAATCCCTTAAACCCCTCAGGTAGCTTGGCTTCGATTAGGCGGTGAGGTTCCTGTTATCATCATAATCTTGCTCTACTGTTCTCCGCCTCCCCTCCTTTGGATTATTATAAGTGCAAGCTTATAAGTTGGATCTAATGGAGTTTGATAGACCGAAGATTTTTTTTCAATCCCATTGATTTGGTGTCCTTGAAACTTGAGATGGAGTGATGGGTGTTTGGTCCACCGGGATCACCTTTTTCATCCTCTTGCATGTGTCTTGTCTTCTCCCCCACAAAGCCTCCCTTTGATTTTTGGCTCAACTCCCTCTCTTTCTAAAGAATATAGAGATCAAAAGATATGAGTCTGAGTGAAAAAAGTTCAAATCAAATTTGTATTTAATAGGGTCAAATGATATTAATACATAAGTGCAAGCTTATAAGTTGGAGCAGATAGAGTTTGATGCACTGCTGGAGTTTTTTGAATCTCTTTCATTTGGTGTGGTAGAAATTTGAGATGGAGTGATGGATGTTTGGTCCACTAGAAGCACCTTTTTCTTCCTCCTCCTCTCCACCACAAAGCCGCACTTTGATTTTTGGCTCAATTCCCTCTCATTCTAAAGAATATAACGATCAAAACATATGAATCTCAGTGAAAAAAGTTCAAATCAAGTTTTTTTTTTATGAATTAAGTGATATCAATTTATAAGTGCAAGCTTATAAGTTGGAGGAGTTTGATGCACTGACGGAGTTTTTTGAATCTCTTTGGTTTGGTGGCGTAGAAACTTGAGATGGAGTGATGAATGTTTGGTCCACAAAGAGCACCTGTGTTTTTTTTTGCTTGCATGTGTCTTGTCTTCTCCTCCAGAAAGCCGCACTTTTATTTTTGGCTCAACTCCGTCTCTCTTAAAGAATATAGATATCAAAAAACATGAATCTGAGTGAAAAAAGTTCAAATCAAATTCTTATTGTATGGAGTATATGATGTAAACTTATAAGTTGGAGCTGATGAAATTTGATACACTGATTGAGGTTTTTAATTTTTTTGGTTTGATGTTGTAGAAACTTGATATAGAGTGATGGGAGTTTGGTACACCAATACCACTTTTTCTTTCTCCGCTTGCATCTGTCTTGTCTTCTCCTCCAGAAAGCTGCATTTTGATTTTTGGCTCATCTCCCTTTCTTTCTAAAAAAATATGGAAAGAATATAAGGATCAAAAGATATGAATATAAGTGAAATAAGTTCAATTCTAGTTTTCATTTTAAGTAAATGATGTAAAAAAAAATGCAATAATAAGAACATTTAACTTTGATAAATTTAATCATTGACGATTTATTTGACTTAATAAAATAATTTTTTTCAACTAAGTTTTTAATTTCTATTATGTAATTTTCAGGACAAGTTTTGAAAACTAATTCAAGAAATTCGTTAAAATTTTAAAACAAATCGTTAAACTAAAAATGAGATTTTTTAAAAAGTGGGATATTTTTAAGTATATTTGTTATCATATAAACATTGCAAATGTAGATTAAGGACTTAATCGTATCTAAATACGGCTTTATTTTTAGCAATTATTATGGATATGAGGAAAAATCTAACTACATACTGCAATCATCATGAATAAATAATTTATAAAATACATATGATTACACAAATTATATCAGCAAGTAAATTTTATATGATTTTGTATCCACATTTTATCAAATAAATATTATCACATATAAACATGAAAGTCATAGGGACATCAATTATGAATCTGATAGAAGTAATATATTTTATTCATAAAAGATTATTATCAATTTTGAATCAAGGAAAAAATCCCAGTTTAATAGGAAAAATAACATAAAAAATTCATGCTTAAATTTTTTTTTGATATGTAATAATTTTATTTTTTATAATTTATTCAAAAAAATTTCAAAAATTAAGGATACTTTTGTAAGAAAAAAACTCAAATTTTGTTGCAGAATGGAAAACCAGTTCCTCCGACAAAATTATACAGTAGTCACTTACCCCTAAATTAAAGAAAATGAAATAAAATGTAAGAACCAATTACAGTATATCGCAGTATATTGAGAATCAAATTGAATCATGCATGGAATTGAAAAATAATAAAACTTTCAGACACAAAAATGAAATAAACAAAACATGAGGACGGAATTTTTTTCTCGTTTTCGATGACACATATTATGAATTGATTGTGTATGGATAATTTTGATATATAAGATGATGATATTGGATCATTGAAAATATCATACATGAAACATGTTTTAGATGAAATCAAAATACAATTATAATCAACCATATTGAATTAAAAATAAGGTCTCAAAATGTAAGCTTGGCTCTTAATTAGTTTGATTGATTATCTTTATTTTATCTTTGTATTTAACGACGTAAAATAAATTTTTGAGTAAAAATGAATTAAATTATTTGGAATCTATAAAAACTGTAAGAACTTATAAAAATTTTAGTTTATCTATGCAGATTTTAAGAAATTTTTTTATTTTAAAAGGATTTATTTTTTAAATCCTTTTAAATAATATAAAAAATCCTTTTAGATACTTGCAAAGATGCTTTTTGATTGATTCAATATAGTTTGAAAATTGAAAAATAAGTTAAAATTTCTTGTAATGACTCCAAGGCAATAATGTTTTTAGCATATATGTATTTTTCATGTCTTTGAAAGAAATGGAAAAAATGGGATTGTGTATTGATTATCATATAGTAAGTCTACTAAAAGAAAAGAAAATAATTATGACCACGTGTATGATAAATTGTATACTTTGCAACAGACTAATAAAACATATTATTTCGACTTGAGATTTTGGATAAAATCAAATTCAAAGAATTGATAGAAATATTCAGAAGAGACTGTTTTGGATTAGATTTATCACTGTTGAGTTTTAAATTTTAATTTTTAATTTTTTAAAAAGAAAATATTATTTCTAATACACAAAATTTAATTATTGTATTTTGAATAAAATTAATAGCAATAATTTCAATTATAATATTTTAAAATTATCATGAAATTTTGATGCATGATGAGAATCTACATTAACATTATGAAATTGATTAATCATTATTTTAAAAAAATAAAGTTTTTTTAAAAAATAAAAAAATTTAAATTATTATAATATATATTCAAAAAATAATAGTAGATATAACCAATGTAAGGAAAAAATGTTTAAAAATTAAAAATTAAATTCCAATGGTTAACGAATGGAATTTTAACAAAATTTTTGTAAGACTATTAGATCTAATGTCAAGTGATTAAGTTTTTTAATTTATGAAAGATGAAACTAAAAAAACTAAAATAAAAAAGTTTTCAAATCAAAATTTACTTATTAATTTTTTTTAAAAACTATTTATGTTATATCTATCAATATATGACATTTATTTATGATATATCTGGAAAGTATTGATAAATTTTTCTTAGCAAGAATATGATAAACCTGTGAATTTACACAAACCAACAAAATAAATTCAAATTCATCTAGAACAATGTATAGGTGGCAGTTGAATTTTAAATAGATATAATATTATAAGATGCATGAATATAAAATTAATCACAAATAGAATGATATTTTCTAAGTTTTCTTTGGGTTTAATCTTCATAAAATATTTGTGAGCTATTTATTGAAAAAAATTTACTTCTGACGGATTTTTCTTTTAAAGCTAGAAATGTCAATATTCTATAATTTATAACTGATGATGTAACAAAATTTTTTTATTCAACATTTATTATTCATTAATAGGTAAAATAAAATAAAATCTTGTAACATATTAGAAGATGTATTTATTCAATAAAATTTAAATTTTTTTAAGTGTTAAAAAATTTGATTTAAAATGTTTCCTGCTTACTAGACAATATATAGATGTTAAACTTTCAAAAAGATTGCAATTTTTGAGGATTTTTGAAGCTTAGTAACATTGCATATCATATAAAAAGTTAAAAATTCTGACGTTTTTTATTATAAATACAACATACAGATGGTCATTACAGTTGATTGATTTTGGAAATGACAGTTTTAATTTGAATCATGAAAAATATAGTGTTTGCAAATATAAAAGTTTTGTTCTCAACTGAATAATATTGATTGAATAATATAAAAGATCACCGATTAGATTTCTTACAAGTTAATATTTCATTTAGTAATTACATGATTCACAGTTGAACATAATAACATTCATGAAAAACACACAACAAATATTCGTTGAATTGAAATTAAAATTTTTCTTTGACAAACGCAAAGTTTTGAAAATAAACTGAAAAGTCAAAAAACACATTCATCGAAATTTTCAAAGTGCCAAAAAATAAAGAGTTGAAAGAATAAATTTTCAAAACCTGAAGATTTAGAGTGCTGAAGTTTTAGAAAATTAAGTGGTAAAGAATCAAAATGCTTAAAAGCTGAAATGCCCAAATTTCTTGGTGCTAAAAAGTCAAATTGCAAAACCATCGAAGTGCTAAAACATCAATGTAGCAAAAAATAAAAATGCTATAACATTGGAGAAAAAAAAAACTAAATTTAATACGTCAAAGAAGAAATCCAAATTGCAATTTTCTTTTCCAAAATTCAAAGAGCCAATCAATACGATAAAAATCAATAACTGTCTTAATATTGGATACAAATTGTATTTAATACATATTCTTGTTAATTAGGAGACTGATTTTTAAGATATTTTAAAATTTTAGATGAAACTTGTGCACATTATTTTTCACATCACTTATAGAATAAAATCTGTTAAAAAGTGTTAAAAAAATGCTGAAATTGACAAGTGTAAAAATTCGCAAGAATAATTTGTGTGAAGTTTTATTTTTTTTGTGAAGTTTGATTTGAATTACTCATAACTATGTGTTATAATCCTTTCATGCTAGAATTATATCAATGTAAAGCAGCCAAAGGAAGTATGTTGAGAAAAATAACTGAAAGGTATGATTTTCAAAAAAGATTTAGATAATAATTCTAAAGCAAGAAGCTTTAGAATTCCATGCCACATCTTCACATAGTATAAAACATAGTATATTTTATGGGTCCCATTTATGAAAAAGTATCACAGTGAAGAATTTTTCATAAGTCCATCAAAAAATATTTTTTCTATTTTTTGTATCAACCGGTCATTAACAATTTGATTTTCACATGATAACCTTCCTTGAGATAAATAATAATAACTAATGAATTGATGAGTTTCACAAGAAAGAAAATGATCATATTCAGTAATCAAATAAATTTTTTTACAATAAAAATGTAATGTCTCTTAGAACATTGAAAATTTTTAGTACATTTAAAAGTATGCTAGCTTTTGACTACTAATTTCACTCAAATCTGTAGAATATAGGAGTTACGGATATCTCCACTGACGCTTATTCCTTACATGGGTCGCACATTATGAACTTCTTCAGTACCCGCATCTTCAATTCTTCCAACATCCACGCCTAAGTCAAGTGCTAAACTCCCAAGAAAGTGAGAAATATGTTATTCAAGCTCGCCCTTTGCATATCCTTCATAACACGATCGCGAATAGGACGACACACTTCAGCATCCAAGATGATGTAAAGGAGAAATAAATATGTCCTTCAATTTTCAATTTATTTTAAGATACACAGTTGGCTTATATATTTTCCCAATTAATTGTTCCTTCTCAACGATGTGAAGGAAAAGCGAATTGAAGTAAGTCGATTGAGTACATGGATTTTACAAAACCTGGTAACGAAGGTATCAGTGTTTCAAGGTTGTCATGTTCATGCTATATTTTTCTCTCGCACTTCCAGCTTCTCCAGTAATAAGGCAACATCACATGCTGACCGAGTCACTTTCCCACCTCTTTCTACCTACAGTACAGTACTTCAAGTTCAACTGGAAAAATTCGACCACAACAAGGATACCCCATCCATTGTTTGCAGTACTGTACCTCAAAAGTTTTACTTGCTACTTACAGCTCGACGACTCACCCTTTTCATTTCCGCAATACGGCAATGAATACTAGTAGAAGTATGCCTCTACTAGGGTACGTATTGTGATATCTGAATTCATTCCGCTAGAAAACGTAATATTCATGATATTGAGACGTATGATATGAAGACGCACTTGAACAAACTCGATCTCTTTTCACTAGTTTTGATTCAGGTTTTCCATTACTCCTAAATTCAGTCTGCAATTTTAGAACCATATTTGATTAGTTTTGACTGTTCCGTCTCACTCTTGATCTGTATAGACAGACTCTGAGTATATTAATGTGGAAGATGATACTCCAATTATGAACGTCCTTCTTCACTGGAGGAGTCGACCGAGTGGAAGCGGAAGAAATGATGCTGGTCAATTACCCATGGCAAAGTCTACGCGAGCGTCAGAACGTCAAGAAGGTTAGAGTTGACTGGACGTTTCCCTCATTTATGAAAAATATTTTTTCAAGGACAGATTTTAAGTGAAGATGACATTTTTAACTCTACATTCCGAGAGGCGTTTGGATTCCATCATTGATTATATGCAAGGGATTAGTCAGTACAACTTGAAAGTCACTTTTACGGAGTTTGCAACATGTAGTACATAGAGGCATTACAGTTGACATCAATTACCGAAACTAGAATCTTCCGGGTGTCAAGCATCGTACTAAGATTTCACAAGTTCCATGATCTCGAAGTTTGTGCATTAATTCTAAGATAAAAACTGGCGAAAATAATCATCAACTCAAAGAGTTTATTGTTGAGGTTTGGGTTCGCCCTCCAGTATAAGTATGAAGTCTTTAGAGAAGATAAGATAAATCTTACTCCAAGAACATAATGTCCACCTATTTTATTCTACTCTCTGAAGTTGAGAGAACTTGTACGGGACACACACTTGTCCCCTGCCTTTCTCAGGCCATGTATCTCAGATCTAAATCTAGGCGCGGTCCAGAGGACCAGCGCCGAGGAACCAAACCGTGTGGACTGTGATGTATGTACTCAGCGGTTGGAAATCTCCGAACACAGTTCCGCAACAAGGCTCGAGGGTAACGCCGTTGAGAACCAGTGCAAACTGCAGTTTGCTGGCCCCGTTCAAAAGACCCGAAAAGGACACAATGTTGTAGTTTCCCAACAGCGTTCGCCTGTTCTGTTCGGAGTTTTCGAGAGTCACCTGGGCAACCATGCCCTGTGCCCCAACCACGTACACAGTGCCGCCAATGTGGAGAAAGGCGCTTGTTTGTCGGATGATAGACTGGATCACAGGGCAGCCGCGCTCTATGGTCAATGAGTGGAACTTGCAGCTGTTGCGAGCGTCGCTACGGAAGAACGAGGAACTCGTGACAGATGGCGGAGGCCTGGGTCTATTTTTGGAGCCTCTGGGTCTTCCTCTACTTCTCCGCGAGACAGAATGGTTCACAAAACTCGATTCGGCAGGAACATCTGTCAGCAGAGGGCCGGAATTTCCGAGGCCTTCAACAAGCTCCGGGGCGATATCGGGTATCACAGTGAACTTGTTGGAAGCTGAGTCGACGACGACGACGTTGGCCATCCCGACGTTCGGCTTTGCTTCGTACGATGTGTCGTCCTGGACAATAAATGTTTCTGTCAATCTTCGTTGTGCCATGTTCGCCTCGAGATGGTCACAACGTTGATCTGCAGAATATACGCACAACATAGATCAAGGTTTTAGAGAATAGAGTTGTGCAAGAGAATTGTTAAAGAATGAAAATAACAGAGCGAGATATGGTGACCGAGCTGAAGTGTTCCTGCAGGTATAAAGATGTGCTATGAATAAAAGCATCAAAGAAAGGAGGCAGACAACACTTGTAAAGCACAAATGCTATCTGATAGGAGTCCGGACTGCACAAAGTGCTGAAGGTTTACACACCCAAACTCAATGCTTGAGCAGAAAACCAATCGAAAGATGGCGCTGAAAGAATGGCACTACGGAGGACAAAGAAGAGAATAAGTACGTGATGTCCTCAGTAGTTAATTTATAGAGGACCAATAAATATTTCATTTATGTTTTTGAGAAACTTCGATGCAATGATACCCTTTGCATGCAGTATTAGACTTGGTGATAGTGAACCTGGATGTACTCACCTCACGTACTATACCTGCTGACTTCATCCCCTCCGACAAGATGAAGACATTTTCAAGTTGTACTCTGGGTGGGGGGTGAGGTACTGGGACAAGCAAGGGTCCTATACCTGATTGTGGTCCAGTTTTTCGGTTATTCGGTTGAAATCATATCGAAAGCAAACAGGATGGGAAGACCCCTTCAAGCAGTTCATGCAAATGTGGAGGAATGTTAGCTGTTTCATTGCACTCTTGTAACGAGTCTTATCAAGCTCATGGATGTAGACTCCTGATTATATAAACTGAATGCAAGTACTTGCCCTGTTGGCCCACGCAGCTTAATTTCGATTACGACATGATTTAGCTTAAACTTGAGGTACGTATTTCTTCACCTCTATTCTCAAGCTATTGATGTTTTTTAAGTGTAATGTTTTATTAGCAGACGGAAGTTGCTGGATAGATTTATTGACACCGTTCAATCCTACGTCTTCAGGCTGAGAGTAGTTTCTGACTGAAAAAGCGATGATCAGACCAGAGTACATCTGACAAGAATTCATTTTAGATCTAAGATTAATATTTTTAACGATGTCGAAAACCATGAAAACGACTCCTTGTTATCATAGTCGTTATATATTTTTTTCTTCATTACGACTTTGACTACTTCGAATTGACTTCCACTTTCGTTGAAAGAGTTTGAATATGAATCGACTTCTTTCATTTGGCTTTTGTGGAAATCACTTCTTTCTGTCATTTTCAAAGTTTTGGAGTACATCTAGGTTTATGTACTGAAACCAGGTCTCGTTCTAGCATGAAAATGTTATACCACTTTGAATTAAACAGGAACTGTATCTTCTTCCATAAATAATTTTTTTAAAAATATTCTAATAATTATCTCTATGAATGAGATTCGCTAGGAATGTTAAGCAGACTGATTTATACCACTCTTATTTTCACTTATGCATTTGTGGGCTGATGAAGTCTACAGCGCTTTTTGCTACGCTTTGCTAACAGGAAGTACGTAATTAAGGGGTATAGCGGTCGTTTTATACTTTGTTCAGAAGTATGAAATGAATACTGAAGGTTAATTGTCCAAGTGAGTGAGAAAAGTGGTAACTTAATAGTAATCAAACACGTGATTTAAATGAGAACCAGACCTCAATTATGAATGCTTGATTAAAAAGCCTGAAAAATCAATATGTTGAATAGATTTATTCAAAATACTGATTTTTTTAAACATAAATTTCTGTTTCAAATATCTTAGTCTTGTAAATTTTATTTTATTAAATAAATAAATCTCAATGAAATTCCATGCTGATAAAGCAGATTTTTTCATAGATGAAAAGGAATAAAGAACTTTTTTTATATGTATAAGCTCTATCAAAAATTTTCATGATGGTGTGTATATGGGTATCTTATAATTGAAAAGTATGAAAAAAAGGAAGAAATATTATGCATTCAAAGAGATCCAAATGATTTTTTTAAACAAACTTGGAGAACTGAAAATTGTATATTATTCTGAAAAAAATTCTCTCAAATTACGTCAAATTTTTTTTATCAAAATTCATTATTTTTAATCCTTTGATGATGAAAGAGGTGCTTGGCATTTTTTTTTTAAAGTAGAAGATTGTAAATACTAGATCATTCGAAAGTTTCACATTGCATGGCACACAAGAAAAGATTTTACAAGACCTTTAAATATAAACTTCATACATCATAAATCTTTGACAGCTTATTTCTTATTACATTGTAAAGGAGTCCATTGTGGAAACATTTATCCAAATTTTAATGAAAATATAAATCTTCCTTTTGTAAAATTTTTGTTTCAAAAAGAAACTTCTTGATTTGTGATCTTGCTAGAATTTTTATCAAGAGTTTTCACGATATCATACTATTTTTTTATTTTTTAATAAACAAATAATCGTTTATCATATATGATCAACAATCTTAAAGTTTTTTTTGGTAATAGGTTTTTGTATTTAACCATAAAAATATAAAATCTATATAAATCCAAAGTTGACAATCGATTAAAAAATCTATACGATAATTGAAATATGTATTTCTATAGCTTAATCAGGTTAGAAAAAACGTAGTATTCCATATCTTGACATCAATGATGAACGTTTTGTATAATTTTTTCCATAATAAATTCAAAATAACAAAACTAAAGAGTATGCTATGATTATTTTTTCCAGTCTCAACAGTAGAATAATATAAATTCAAATTTTGAAGAAATGTCAACGCTAATTAAAGTAGATGATTCGTTTCCAGAGGATAATGTAGTATGTATAAAGAGTTTTCTCTGATGAAGATGAGGTAGAAGATTATAAATTTAAAAGATTTCAGGAGATATGAAACTGAATCTATGAACAATACTTGGGTTGTTTTTTTCGTTCAACCTATTTTTTTTAAAACATTTCAGTAAAACTAGGCTTTGAATGAAAATTCTTCTTTTTACATGATTTTTGAGTAAATAATTTTACAAGGTTGCAGATGAAATGTTCATTTCAATAAAAGGGAATTGAGAGAATTTATTGAAAAACCTACAAATAGATGTTGATGAAAAAAAATTCATTGTATGTTTTATGTAAGAAAACAATATGAGAACTTACATTCAATTTAGAACATTATTTTGTTATCGATGATTTATTCTAGGATGGATATATTGATTTTTTTCATGTATATCTAATAATTTAGTATGAAAAAATTCGAGAATTTTTTCAAATATGAGATTAATTTTTTTTATATTTTACAAAATTGACAAGTTTTCAATATTAATTTTGAATAATATGCATTTAGACCTATTCAAAAAAATAAAATTGACGTATCCTGTATTCTTTATTCTTGGAAATTTTTTCATACACATGTTTTTTTTTCCCGCTTGTTTAGAAAGGCTTTTAAAACTCTGGAGCTACTGTTAGAGTCCAAAAGGTGTTGGCATTGAAGTGGTAGAAGGAGTTACACAATATTGACAGTAGATAAGGAGCATGTTTTGAAGCAAGGGATAGAAGTTAACAATGACAGAGTTAAAAAAGATGAAACTTTGAGAAAGAAGATGAGTTAATGAGATGAGATAATCATCCGTAAGCCAGATTGTGGTGAGGTTGATATAAACTTTGAGATGAGGTTAGAAGCCAAAAATTTCATATATGATTAAATATAAAAAAAGACTTTTCTAAGTGTGGGTTGTTTTTATTGCAACTTGAGGATCATTTTAGCTGATTGACTTGAAAAATAGCATCATTTGTAATAAACATAGCTTAATTCTATCTTCATCTATTTTATAAAAAATTTATGATGTAATTTAGCCAAATTTTTATCACAAAGTCAAGTTTGTATCTTTTTTGAAGAAGAAAATTTATGATCTAAAGAGAACGTTAAATAATGCTTTTCATATACAGAGTTAAACCTCCCAATAGTGTCACCTCTTATGAGAGACATCCTCTCATTAGTGACGTAGAATCCCAGAACCATTAGTTTCTAACGTGTAAATCTGCTCAATAATAACGGTACGTCACTATTCCCAATAGGGACATGATACTATACAATAGTGACAATTTCAAATGTAATTTCAAAATAAAAATTTCTATCATTATCACAATACATAGTTATGAAACTACAAAAATGTGGCATAAATATATTTAAAGGTATATCTCAACAATTCACACTTTCTGGATTTAACTAAGGGTTTAGGTTTTAACCCTAGACCCATAATTTGCTACATATATTATCATTAATTGTTTCACTCAGATGTGTGTGTATTAATCTAAATTTAAATGTAGTTATAATGTCCATGTTGACCATACAGATGTGGAAATGAAGGCCATTTTGAAACCAAACAACAAATTTATAGAATATCTTAGGGTTGATGCAATGCACGATAAGAAATCTATGAAATTTTAATTTTTTTAATTGACACCTCCCAATAGTGACATCTAACCCCAACACCTTGTATGTTACTATTAGGAGGTTAAATTAAAATTATGCACCTCCCAACAATGACATTTAATGTTAACACCAATGTATGTTACTATTAGGAGGTTATACGCACTTTACTCTTGTGAGTGACACCTTGCAATAGTGACGTAAAACCCAAGTACCAATATATGTCACTATTGGGAGGTTTAACTCTGTATTAAGAATGAACCTTATTGCAAAACGTGTCAATAATTATAGGTTTAAAGTGGATCATCATTAAAAGATGGATCAGGCAACCCAGATAAGCCAAATCAGAATATTCAGATACATTTTATAAACAGAGATGAAGTCAAATGAGATAAGAAAAGTATCTTGGAAGTTGACTTTTAGAGTCAACTTCCAGAATGTATCAATCATTAAGAGGGTAAGCGACAGCTGAACTCTTTTGCATCTCACTATCACAGGGAAATAAAACTTATTGATTTAAAAAAAATATAACATATCAAATTTTTTGGTAAGTCATATGTTTCTTCTACAAGATCTAGTCTCAGTCTTTAATAGAGGAACTAGAGTCTCAATTGTGTTCTTCTAGAGGAAGAGCTGACCTCGTACATTTAGATTCTGTTGATTTACTCAGAAGTGGACATCTAGAAGCATAAAAGATAGACTCAAACACTGAACTCAGTAGCCAACATCACTACACCTGGTGGACATCAACTGATTGGCCCACAGGCAAATACAGACCGCTCACTTTATTCACACTCTCCCTACAGATAATGTCAACTTCATGTCGTCTTCATTGACTTGGTTCAGGTTCATGGAATGGAGTCGATTGCTCAAGTGGTCATTTTGAAGTGAACTTCAGTTAGAAGGTTTTTTGGGTTACTAGAAGAAAACCTTTGTGCTGACTATGTAGACACTTTCCTCTTAGTTGCTATATAAATACTGATTTCTCTCCCATTGCAGACCTTTTCTACTCTAGACTCTGAATTATTGTTTGAGGATTTATCTGCGCAGTTTTCTCTTCCACAGTGTTACTCTTAAAGTGTATGATTTTAACTCGTCATCTGTGAATGTATTGTTCTAATTTCTATAATTGTTTCTCATTTATGTCGTGCAATCAGAGCTCTTAATTAAGGACACTGATGTTTAAGGTTAATTCGTTTGCTGTTTCTTCGCTTTGTTTCTTTACTAGTCCATCAATGATTCTGTGGTTATTTACTTGGATTAGGATTACCTTTAACTTCATAAATTCCTTCGTTACCTATTCTTCTTCTTCCCTTTTATTCTCTGGTCTTGTTGGCATTTTCTTTGCAACTTTTCTTGTTGACGTCAAAGATTAATCGTTTTCTGGCAATGATGGTCAACACTCATTCACCCGACCTCGTCTCTGTTGCAGAGCACATGGTGAAGGAAGGATTGCCCCACATGAGTATTCCAAAAGTAGAAGACCACTCGAGCTCTGACAAATGGACTGCGCTTGAAGCTGCGGTTGCAGATTTGGTCCCAGATTTCGGACGAAGGACCGGAATTTCCGACACACAGAAGACAGATATTGCTGGTGGCTCAAAAATCGAAGACCATGTGGTCTTCAAAAGAGGTAGAGGCAGACCAAAAGGCTCGAAAAATAAACCCAAACTGAAGGCGCCGTCACCTCTCTGGAGTTGGCCGTTCAGTGGAAGCGATCTTGGTTCCAGCTGCAATATCCACTCGCTGATAATACAGCGCGGACACGACGTGATCCAGTCTATCGTCAATCAAGCGAGCGCATTTATCCAGAACGGAGGAGGGTTGTACGTGGCCGGGGCTCAGGGTATGCTCGCAGTGCTGACTCTTGAAGACCCAGTCCAAAACAGGCGAACGCTGATTGGTGCATGGAATATTATTTCCTTTTCAGGGCTTCTGAGTGCAACTACATCTCCAGGACAAATCTCCATGACAGTGATCTGCCCTCCAGACCAGGCTTGCTGTGGAACCGTGGTTGGAGATTTCCAGCCACTCAGTGATTTCATTACTGTCCAGGTGATTTCGTACCTCGGCCCTCCCTGCTCATCTGGCCAGGCCCAGATGTGATGTGTGATGTAAGTGACATGACAAGCGCAGTAGACTGTTGTCCTACAGAAGTGTTCAGGATTTTAGCCTTCTGTTGTGAGACTCGCCGAGATAGACTATTTTATATAATTCATATTTAGTAATAGTGAACCTTGAGCTTCAATAAGGAAGAAACTTCTAAGCTCTTGAACTCTATCAACTAGTATTTTGTCACTTTTACATTGTCATGAGAAACAAACTTTGAGCTTTGTGAATTCTTAATAACGTTTACTCGCTCCCAGCGAGTCCATATAATTTTCGCATTTTCCATACTTTCTGAAATGTTCGCACGCAAAAACACAGAGAATCAAAGGATCTCAGTGGAAATCTCCACTTAGGCATATTTAGAATTTTATTTAAAGAACAAAACAATACAGAGAAGTAAACTTCGATAACATGCATACCGATATTTTGATTTTCCTATACCTAGGCAATGAGGGTAATGTGGTGATTTTTGTTCTCAAAGTATGTTTCTAATTTCAGTTATCTAGGGCTAGTAAAATCGTAAGATCACAGGACAGTTTACTCAACAATAAGTAATTCGTTTCTGTAGCTTCGAAATGTTTCTTTTAGAGATGAATCAACGAAATAATAATATAGAAAACTCGCATAATGATGAAAGTTTCATATCTAAATTTGAAATTTGAATATACACAAGAAATTTATTACATAAATTTCTTGTGTACTTTATCACATAGTATTTTGAATATCTCTATTACCATATTTTTTTTGTCTTTTATCTTTTTCTTTCAAAGGAAGTATTGCAAGAACATATTGTGAATTTAACAAAATTTTGTGACAATCTTTAAAAAAATTTTCAGATTCCTATTTTCAAAGAGTATTATTATATAGTTTTAACGCGATGGAATTTTAATTTTTTTACGAGTAGTTGTGTCAACTAGATTTGTGCCTCAGGCTCAAGAAATGACTTCAGACGCTAAAACATCTAATTTGTAAATGACTTAGACACCTAAGCACATGATAACATGCAAGCTTACAGGTGTTATCAGAATACAACGCAGTGGGTTTTTATTTTAGTAAAGTGAACAAAGGTTTCGAATTTTTTGAGACATCTGAGTAATTTCAAGATTGAACCTTTTGCCAAATAATAGCATATTGGAAACTTGGTAAAATGTATATCTCTTTTAGATAAGTCAATGCTAGTCCATAAGCCCTAGAAGTACATTCTTCTACACGTTTAACCTTGTACTTTGTTTCAATCGTTGGACAATGGTTTTGTGCATTCAGTTGCAAGTAGAATGTAGAATATCTGTCAACTACCATAATTGCTGCAATCGTCTTCTCCATAGATTGCTACCACTTATTCTGCGCTTATCTGCTCTCTACTCTCTTCAACATCTTGTTTCTAATTTACTTTCAACCACTATACTCTTATACGTCAGATGCACAAATGAAAATCAATCATGCACCAATCTTTGGACATACTACTGGACCTTCAGAGGTGACAATTACAGAATTCAAGTAAACCCTTTTCTTAAGTTGCAACTGATTGTATTTTGATGTCGCTGGGTAATCTACAAAATATGTGTTCTTGTAGTTAGTCTGATTATTGCATTTCTTCTCTTCTTTCATACCTTCCATTCCAAACATTATTGGCTGTTTCTTATCCAAGAAATTCGTCTTCCTCCACGTGGTATTTGCTGCTCATCATGACATCATCATCTCTCGCTACTCATGTCACATCGCATAATGAACTTCAAGCGCTTCCCACTAACGTGATGAAGATGTGATTCGATCTGCATTCAATATTTAAAAAACAAACGGTAAGATAGATCAAGGTTCGATACCTGATTGTAAAGTTTGTAAACTAGACTTCAATGGATATATAAACGTCAGATAAATTGTCTTGTGAACCATCATTATTAACTGTGATAAGTATGTATAGAAATAAATCACATTTTTGCCAGATGTCTTCTAAATTTGCCATGGGTTGACAAGAAAGATATTAAACAAAATGTTACTGATATTATAACAAATCTTCTCCCTTGGACGATATGTTGATAGTGGTGCTCCACCGAACCGAGACATGTTCAAAACAGAGTAAAGATGCTAGCAAGGATTCTAGACGGTTAATCTGCAAGGAAAAGATAGACTGGTTAGAACAACAGTTTTTCAAAGAGACAGTATACGCATGATTAATTCTTGTTCGAGTAACACACTTTTTCGTAGCAATGACTTCCTCGTAACCTATGAGTGCTTGATAGTCTGCTTAACAATTGTATGCTTTTATCTCAAACGATTTAAGTTTTATACAAGACTCTATTGTCATTTTGAGATGAAGCAGGGCAGAAGGCTGTAGGTAATAAACCTGCTTTCGATTTCCACCTTTATGGAGGTTTATTTTTTAATCTTTCCTCCGCAGCTTGATGAACACACACAAATATGAGAGGAAAAAACTCACGATTGCCAATTTTCATGCAAGAAAGTCAAGCGAGAGGTGTGCTTAATGATACTTCAAACGCTTCCTCTAAAATCTTCCCCAGATGATACAGACTTGAAGTTCTAGAGAATACTTGGCCAAGGCACAAGAACCTGATCTGGGGTTAAAATCTTCTGTCGCCTTAGCTATGTTCTTGTTTCGCTGGTAGATATTTCACCATCGTTCGCTTCCACAAACAACCTTTGGATGTTTGTTGGTCAAAGGTTTGCAATTTCATTCTTTAGCTCTCCGTTGCATCACTTAAGAATGACTGATATTTCCAATCTTTCCTTCTCATGGATATACTTAGCAGTTTCAGATTCATTTGTTAGCGATTCAATATGCATACTTCTTTAATGCATCCCATCGATGTCTTACAAGCAAGATTGAAGCAAGTTAAATTTGGATAATTATTTCTTACTTCATTCCTTAGCAAAACGTTGAAAAAGCCATGGAACTGTTCATAGTCGTCCGATTTCAGGCCAATGATTCTTATTTTCGCTTTCGATCATTAGCCAAGCAAAGGATAGAGAAGGGGTGTCTTGCATCGTCACATTTTCCTATACTTCTCAGGTGAAGGAGTGTACCAAGATCGGCAAACCTTCATCTTTCCTTATAAAATAGAGAAATATATATCAGTCCAAGATTCTTGCTTTATTTAATAGCTGAAAGTTGGGACATGTACAGAGTAGGTGATCTTTGTCTGCTTACATGCAAATAACAAACATGCCTAGGAATACTGTACTTATATATTACTACCCATTAGCCATGCACGGTACCTGCATAGGTTAGGAATGAATCACCACTGATTTCTTCCATGCAATATACATTTTCCACTGTATCGTTCCATCTAAATTTTTGATCGTGCGTTGCCTTAGTTGAGAAACAGCTGAAGAGTGAACACTATTGATCAGATTTCCTGCATACACTCCGCAATTCAGGAAAAGAAATATCCTAAGAATGTCCCACCAAACTGAGCTGACTTGGACAGGCCAACCTTATATTTAACAGAACACGTGCCACCAAAGGTTCTTCAAAACTAGTTCTAGTCGTGGGGCGAAGAGGCTCAGATGTGGGTAGGATGTTTCAAGTATTGGAGGGGCTCGTGCTTGGACAGATGCATTGTGATTCTTATATTAGAATCTGAGAATCCGGACGACGAATTTCATCCCTTAATCTTTGGCAGGGACAATGCTGTTCTGCAAGCCAGGAGCTGTCTCATGTCCATACGTGCTCTAATCGTTGACTCTCACATGCTGGTAATTTTAATTTTACTTACTCGTACATGTAGTTCAAGGTAGTTCATGTCACTCGCTTCTTTTATTGGCTGAATACGTCTTTCAGGATCTTTGACTTGTAATATGATTCTCTGTGTTCCTTGTTACCTCCTCTGTCTACGAGACCGCATAGCAATCTTGGACTGAACATCTACTATGCACTGCATTTAAGGGCCTTGTCAGTCCTTTTCTTTCTAAATTGCTCTTTTGAGTAGTGAGCTCGCGCACAGGCTTAAATTAAACGAGGCTCTGTTCAGCAGCTGAAATGGCTGGCTCATCGCGAGACTTGGCTTTTGATCTTCCTCATTCCAGCCCGTCCATGCTGTCTTCATTGGCTCTCGCCTCGTAGTCTATCTGGGATGTTTTCTTTGATGACGATTGTTGATCAAGTCCTAAAGCCTTGAGCCCCTGTGTCCAACTTTCTCCTCCTGATAAAGCCTTTTGATAACTTGATTGTGAACAGAGGATTCCAAACCACTTATATTTCGAAATAATCAAAACTAAAAACTTCATTATGAACAGAGGATTCCCAACCACTTACATTTCAGAATAATCAAAAGTCTGTTCGTAAAGACGTTAAGAAACTTTCAGGACATGAGAGTGCCATCCAAGTGAACAGACAATGCTGGATCATATAAATTTCAGTGCGCATGGAAAGCAAAAAGTTTTTTTATAGAAACAACTGATTCATAACAACAACTCATCTTGATACAAAAGCGACAATCGATGGACACAAAATAGGATACCACCACATACAATATGGCTGGAAGACACGGAGCGTTTGCCCAAATACAACATATTCTTTGATAAAGACCTTGTTACAAGTGATTTACTCTCGTTCTATGTCATCATTTATATTAGCCCAAAGATTAAACGCGGGTTTATTAAGATTAATTTTTTTTTGAAACAATCTTCACTAGAGATTTGTTTCGTATTTGCATTTACCAGATTCAAAAGGCTCTGCCACTTAATACAGATAAGGTGGCTCCATCAGCTTACATTAATGCGTCTTTTCTTTAAGCGATGAGGTCAATTCCTAGCTTTGCAAAATTGCCACGTAAGAGGTGTACCTATTCGGTTTTCCAGATAAAATGTAACATTTCCACTGCTCAGAAATTTTCTGCATGCTTTTTTCTACGTTGTGGGTAGTTATGCATTTAGTATCAATATCATTCTTTTGAATGTAGTTGCGGTGTTAATGAGTGGCTACCTACATCCATCTTCTGCTGAAATTATAGTTTCCAATTAACAATTGCAGTCTCATTCCTTTGCTGTACCTCTGATGGAGCAACGAATAGCAATTGAATGGCTCACCATTGCGAACTTCCAAGCATATTCTTGAATCTGGGATACATGATAACTAGACAATAGGAAACTAAAACGGCATCGAATGCAGATGAATTTGGACGTTTGCAAAAGCCCTGCAGCCGAGTGAGAGTTGACCCGACATAGAATGCAATCTGATGATGAAGAAACGAGAAACATGGGTACCTTGAGCACATCGGACTGCTCATTAGTGACGTCAAGCAAGCAGTGAAGAGCTTAAGAGGTTGCGTTAATTCCGTACTCCGTCGAAGTCAAGGACATGTTTCGATCCGGCGTCATGCACAGGACAGCGTGTGCACAACCCTTTGCACATCAAGCATAAAAATAGAAGATTTATTAGATTAGGCTTTATCTAAAACATTTCGGTCCGTATCAGTACGGGTCACTGATCCCAGATCGAGGTGCTGCGAGTTTTGCAGCAAAGCTCCAGTCTTATATTGACCAGCACATGTCATCCCTGTCTACAGGACTCTGAGGCAAGCTGGAGATGCCCAAGATCCCACTGTATCCTTAAAACTAGCACTTCAAGACAAGTGCAGATTCGTCAGACAGCTCTCAGTCCTCTTCAGTTGAGGGCAATCGACTTCAACAGCTGGTTTTCGGAACTCTACGTGCTAAAAGTTCAGAATATTTCAAACACGTGAATATAATAATAGAATGTAAACTTGGCAGCCGTCTTAGGACTTATCTAGACGGGTGGAATTCAAAAACGGTTGTGGAAGTCCTACTGGGAAAATTGGACATTTAATGTTCCAATTCATAGAGTTAGGTTATGGGTTCTGTTGATCGAGCTTTTCAGTGCTCTGGTTCAAGGTTCAGCTTAAACGTGAGGGTCCTAACGGGAAAATCGGACTAGTTTGACGTATCTCTAATTGGACTACTTGCTGTCTTTCTGTCTTCTAATTGCTAGGCTTGAGACCCCATTCGGATGATACCCGGACCAGACTGACTTACTCCAGTCAAGGCCTAGTGCACTGAGGACCGGAACGAATGACGGGAACGGCTGGCCGCCAGGAAGGATTGATACTTCTCGCTTTTAATACTTCCACGTCTGACGCGTCGACCTGTCATTTGTGTGGACATGTGCAAGCTTGCTTGTTAAGAGCATGAAATCTGAGTATCATGGGGCGTCAATCGGGATGGCGATCATCAAGTGTACAGGTATCACAACGTGGGGAAATCGTTGTCGATGTTGATGCGCCGTGGGGGAATTGGGGAGCTGGGAATGGGGAGGGATTGATGATGAGGAAGAGTGAAAACAGGAGGTCAGACTGCACAAAAATCAGAGGAGGCTGGATGGTAACTAACTCAGTGGAATGCTTTGGGCATAGTTGAAGATGTTGCGGGAGTCAAACTTCCTCTTGATGGATTTCAGCTTGTCAAGGTTGGAGCCATAGTAAGCTGAGAGTGGCATCTTGCTGTCGATGTAGTTCTGGTACGCCTCGCCTGATGCGAATGGACGGACAGTGCTCCAGATGTTTTCGATCCAGTTGATGGCGTTCTGAGCATCCTGGGGCCTGTCATTCCAGTAAGTGAACATCTGAATGCTGTAAAGAGAATCCCGATGAACCCAAGCGCTTGCACTAGGTGAGATAGCGTTGATGGCGGAACCGGTACCACCGAACAGATCGAAGATCATGTAACTCTGGGCAGGGCCTTGCTGCAGTTTGTTCACGTAAGCTTGAATTCCTGCATCCGAGAATCCCGATCCTTTGACGAAAATAGACTTGGACTTGAAAGTTCTAGTTTCGTAGGTGTAGTTCTTCAAATCCAGGATCGAAATGGGATCGGTTTCCTTGAATCCTGCATTGATGACAACAGTCCTGATGTAATCCGTTTCCAGCTCGGTGGTACTGGAAGCTGCAGGGGCGTTACTGAAGAACTTCTGCAGGACACTCTTCAAGTTGGTCTTGGGGCCGAGATAAACTCCCCAGAAAGTGTTCCCACCCGATGGATCGTGGTACAGAGAGGCAGAGACATCATTGGTGACAGTAAGTCCCCAGAGACCGAATGCCTTGGTGGTCGCAGCCTGCTGACTCTTCTGAAAGTTGTAGCTGAAGTACGTCACCTTCTTCGAGACATCGAATGTCTTGAAGGTGAATTTGGTAACAATACCTATGAGACACAATCACAATGCTCAAGTCAATCCAACCGCCTTATACAAGTCACAAGTCTGCCACATTAATGTTCCGAGCAGATACTCAGCTCGTCCGATTCCCCAGGACAGATCTTTCATATAATACTTCGAAGGTGAATCTGAGCCTTTCATACTGACAAGCGAAGTCAAGCCGACAGCATGTTCAATTGTAGTTCAGTTGACTTGCACATCACTTTTTTCCAAACCGGATGTAAATGAGACGAATAGAGCTTGAAGTGTCGATGTGGCAGATATATGTAGATTGTAGGAGTAGTTCTGGTAGATGTCTAAAAAAATCTATGGTTACACGGAGCTCTTGATCAGGCGATCAGATTCAGGAGCACACAGCATTGGACTCGTGTCTTACCGAAAGAGTTGGCACCGGCGCCCTTGAGAGCGAACAAGAGGTCTGAGTTCTTCTGGGAATTGGCAGTGATGACGGTTCCGTTGGCAATGACAATCTCGACTTCGACAATGTTGTCAGCCATGATCCCCCACTTCCTTGAGATGAAGCCCCATCCACCACCGAGAGAGTGGCCTCCAACTCCTACGCTGGGGCAGGTTCCAGATGGAGTGGACACCTTTCCTTGATTCCAGAGAGCCAGCTTGATGGGTCCTAGTCGTGCACCTCCTCCAACTGTCGCGAGTTTCGAGGTCTTGTTCAGCGTGACCTTGTTCATGCCTTCCAGGTCCACGACTATCACACCATCCCTTCCACCTGGATGCACATCAAATAATACTCGGTTCAGCAGATTCCACGAAAGCCACTGGATTCTGTAGAAATAATGTCACAGAGCAAGCAATCAGCTGACAGCTCGGTCTTCACATCGACGGGTGAATTGAGACCCGACAGGAGTAAGCAGGGACTTCATTGCGTACCGAGAGAATAGTCTTCATAAGAATGGCCTCCACTGCGGGGAGCGATTCCGACATTCAGTCTCACAGCACATTGTATAGCGTTCGATACATGGGCTGTGGTGGTGGCGAAGACGAATGCTGCAGGCGACCACAGAAATCTGTGGTTGAAAACATGGCCTCGTGCAGTCTGGTAATCAGAGCTGCTCGGCAGAACGATCCTGGCTCCAGCTGGTCGGAGACAGTCAGCCAACGACTGCTGAAGCAATCTTCTCGCAGGCTGTCCAAATTCACACACCACACCAAATATTAGAGGGAATCTCGACGTCAAATCTCTTATATTCCTCATACAAGCGGCATGTTAAAAGCTATTACACGCACGAAATTCCCTAAACATTTTATTTCGTTGGAAGGCATGCAAGTGGATTCCAGGGTAGTGCAAGGCTTCTATGTTCCGTAATAATTGAGGATTCTGAATCATTATTCCACCCTGTCGATGAACGTGGAACATCGGTAGAGAGAAACACAATTCCTCACAATTGGGAAGATGAGAGAGAGAGAGAGAGAGAGAGGCACTCGGGTGATTAGAGCTAAGAAAGACGTACTCCAAAAGCAGCAGCAGGTCCGGTGTAGCACTGCAGAGCCACGAGAGTGAAGAGACAAATCCGTGTAAACATCGTCGGCCCTCCAGCTCGCTTCATGACGGCGGCTAAGATTTCTAAACTAAAAATTCAAGGAGAAAAACAATCTGATCCCTCACTCCTCCCAAACTTCTACGGCTTAATGATTCTAAAACTGCTCGATATGAACAATATTCATTCTACTGACTCAAGCTCGTGCTGTGACACGGTACTGGGTCTACAAAGAATCCTGGTCTAAATTTTCTGACTCGCTCGATCTACCACTCGTCCACTCTGATACGAGGTTCGATGTCGACAGAGGATGACGACCCTCGAGCGGTCAGACGAAAGCCTCCCTAACAGCCCCGGCCGAACCGAATTGTTGAATGCCGGTACCCTGGGCCATAATTTATAGTCCCATGGGTATGGACGCGAGCTGGAAAGCAGCAGTCGCACCAGAGCACGAAGAGCACACCCCATCCAACTGGCGATCCCTCCGACTTCGTCTTCCCTGTACGAATGCATAATCGTACACGTAATGCCGTCCACAATGTGTTCTACGCCAGACGAGGACTTTGTCTCTTCCGGATAGACGTGCGGGCGCATCAAGTTCTGCAAGGTTATCCGCAAAGAAAAACCTTCAGCTGGCAACTGAGGAAGGTCCGCATGGTGCAAACCTGCACTGTCGAAATCTGTCGAAATCCGTCTGCTCGTCCACTCCATCCCCTCCCTCCCTATGTGCTTTGCCTCCCCCGAGTCTCCGCGTCGCCGTCCGTTTCCTCACTCGCCGTCGATTTTCCACTTTACAGCTCCACAACCGCCTCAGTCCTCATTATTGGGATGCGCGTCTGCAGCCGCCGCCCACTTCCGTGCCACGGTAACTGAGATTCATCGAAATCGGCCGTCGGTCCCGACATCCGATTGGTGATTCCGTCATCCAGTCTTCAGCTTTCGGATGATCGGGGACCGACTTTCCAAGACTCTGCTTGTACACAAGTTCCCAATCCTAGTCCCTGTCTCAGTTCTTCGTACGCCTCAATAGACGTGGAACGTTTGGGTGAAAGATCTAGAACTTGGTTAAAGTATTTCAAAGCCAGTCGAACTTGGTTAAAGTTTTCTTGCGCGTTCCATCTGGGGCAGGACGCATTATGGGCTCTGCCACCGCAATCTTTACCACTGATGCAGCCCGACAAACTCGCGTTGACTCACTTCTCGACGATGATGAAAGTTTTTGGTGTGCGCTTTCTCTTTGGCGGTTCGGGGAAATTGCTTCGATGTTTCTGGATGTGGACTCTTCTCTGACTTTCTTTTGTTCGTAGCGGACGTTGACACGGCTCTTTCCCGCTGCGCTCGACATTTGGATTGGGAGCTCGAGGTGTTTCTCGGCGTCGGCTGCTACTCATCATGCCAAACTTAGCACTAGTCTAGATTGGAAGACTTGGCGTTGACAATCCCCGACAGGAATATCTTCATCTCTTATCTTACAGATTCTCGTTGACGGTGTAAGAGATCGAGTTCTACAGTAGAAAAAATCCATGTTGACATCTTAGATCGTAATTTGGCCTTCCCCCTCGCGATTAGTCATCTCCGTCAGCTCGTTGGCCGAGACTGTTCCGTCGTCGTGTAACCAACAAATCCTACCTGTCGGCAGCAATGAAATCGAAACCTCGACCGTGGGGATTACCGCTCGTGGAAAGATTTCTCAGAAAATAGTCGAAGCCGGGACTGCTGAGATGAAAAGTCCCTTTCGTCGAAGCGCTTTCACGATTGCAGATTCATGACCATAATCTTGCTAGGTCCATCCTTAATCAACGGGGTGGCCATCCCCAATTGGAGAGGAATAGTGCTGTCAAACTGAGCTGGTGCTCGTTGTAAGTATGCAATCATAACACGAGCTGGTCATGCAGCTGTCCACTGTATTATGTTGCGTGAGTTCAAGATGTGGGTGTGGCCGATCATGTTCATGGCTCGTGTATTCTCTTCTAGCGGCAGAATCAGAAACCAGCAGCGGGAGCATTGCGATGGGCTCGGAGGGCCACGACGATAACACAAAAGGATGGACAAGGATGCAACCGAGTGGGTAACCAGAGGCTAGGCCCCAACAGTATGACAAAGCAGTGCAATCATCATTCAGACAGCTGGAACGAATGTTGGAAGCCATAGGTTCTCAAATTCTCTTCGGAAAATATAAGACCATTTCGAGGAAGGCCTAGAAACCCGTGATGCAGTGAGTGACCATCACTGCATTCTTTTTTATTATATTATAGCAAGGCTGGAAAAATAGTGCGCATGTCATTAAGGATCTGTTCGTCCATCAACTCGTTCTATGTGAGGACGGTTCTCTATGGGTTGCAGCATTTGTAGCAATAATTGACAGTCGTTCTCGTTTAGCTTTTTGGCGGCTCTCTGAAAAGCCTTCGATCTCAGGGGGATCGCGAGCAACTCTATTCCGATGCTCTATCGGACCCATCGCCATCAGTGAGGTGAGCATGTCAGAACTGTCAGCTCCACAATACACTGAAAGCTCGTCGGGGCACGCAACAATTCGGCATTCCGCGAGACTTTCTTCAGACACATGAAGACTCAAACAATCGACCGCGACATCCGGTCCAACTCCTCGATTCAAAGCCTCGGTCCAATCCGGACTCGCAACATGTGGTTCAGCACATCGAAGGTCAACCAGAGAGGACAAAATGCTCTTCGTAAGCTACAACGCTTTAAATAATCTCGACCCTCGAAACGGAAGGCGCTGCGCAGCTCAGAAGGAAAAGCTTGCGCCATGCCCAGGCCTCCTTTCCCACCATTGACCGTCCTCAGATGGGGATGACCTTCCCCCTGACTCGGCTGTAATCTTCTGACGAGGCCGAAGACCGGCAGTAAGAATTGGCTGCGGGACTCGGTAAAGGAAGCACGAGCTGAAGAATGCAGAGCTCGAACTGCAAGTCGTCGCCGGTCAACGTGGCGTGTGTGGCGTGTCGTTGCGCCGGTGTTGACCTTACTACAGTAGTCCGGTCCCAACTGCAAGGCTTAACTGCGGAGGAGCACTGCTACCAGGTTACAGAGGCAGAGAGGACTTGCTCTTTCTATTTTCTACCCTTGTGTCATCGGCGAAGACAATCCCTTTTTACTTTGTTCTTTTTCTTTTTGCTTTTCTGTTTTATATATTATCTTGCCCTCTCTAGCATCCAATCGCTGTAAAATAAACAGAACAACAGATATATTTTCTTGGCGTCCTCCGGGTTGATACGTCATGTAAACATTACGCTTACGTTGATTTCTGTTGTACCCAGTGGTTCGCATATTCGCTACCTTTGTATGTATGAGATATTGATAGTCGACGTCATTTTAGTCAATGAATATCTGTACATACGGCACTTAGGAAAAATCAAAGTAAGAGGTAGAATAAGTCACGCGATGTGTTGCTTTATTTAAGGAACGTTGTAAAAAATATGGAAATAACTCTTCCTCCTATTTCTCCGGTTATATCTACCTGAAGGATGAAATCTTGAAAGTCAAAAATCATTTCATGGATTTCAACACAAACTCCTGAATATACTAAATGGGCCGTGTGGGACCCGTGAATCTCCCTAACAAAGAAAATACTTTTACTCATGTAAATGAGATGAACCTACTTTGAATAGTTTCATTCATTTTCCCTGGAAAATCTTAGTTTGAAACTGCTATAATAGGAAGTAATTATCTAGCGAATTGGAACTCACATGTATGAGCAGCTTTAAGATGACGCTAAACAAAAAGATTATCCAAAAATGTCAAGATACAAACCATCATTATATGCGGGTACGATGTTATTACATCATTTTTGTAAATGCTCGGCTCCTATTTGTATGATTCTTCTTGAAGAAAAGTAAGTATTATATTCATATCTACTAAAATTTGGTTTGAAAACCCTTCCTTTTCAATATTCTCTTGACTTTATCCAATCCTGATTTATGTGTTACAAAATTTCAGCAATTTCACTAGATCTGAATTGCAGAATCTAAAACATACATAGAAAAACGACTGCAATTAAGTAAATTTTAAGTATTACTCAGGTATTGTTCTCTAATCATGACACTAGACATAGAGTAAAAGTAAAATATTGATTGTGAACTTAGATGAATATTGAGCTTTCTATTTATTATTTACTTATTAATAAGATTTCTAGGCTGCAAAGGCACATTACATTGATTATATGAAAATATTACTGAATAAATGCTCGTCACAAATGTGACGTGGTAGAGGTAGTGACAACTTCTCAACTTTGAAGTTTGTAGTAGGAATCTAGCAGTATATATACAGAGTCTTGAGATATTGTTTTTCACTCTTGTCAACATCAATTGTTCCTACTCTTCTGGTTTTCTCACTTTGACTGCTCTTTTAAATTTTGAGTAAGAAATCTCCACATTTTTTGTACATTTTGATCTTACTCTGAGTATATTCTCAATCTAATCTTTTGTTTTATTATTAAATTGCCTTTGACAATAGTTTGACTGAAGTGCACCACTAGTTTTGTCTCCAAGAGTTTGAAGTCTTCACATTCTGTCATATTCTCAAGTATACACAACACAAAAATTTGCTACTTCATTTACTTGTGAACGACCAAGCACATTGAATTCAACATGGATGACGTTTTCTAACATCCAGATGCACAACGTGATTGCCATGCTACAACAACTACAAAAATAATTATGAATCTATAAAATGCCATAAAATAGATCTAAATTGCTTGCGTTCCAATCTATGTTCTACCTGCCACAACAAATACAATTGTACAAATGCTCAAAGAATTTCAAATAATATTGCCAAAGAAGTTTGACATAGAATGTACAAACCTTCAAAATGTTGTTGATTAAATTTAACTTGTCTTTCGTCTCCAATCACATAGAGACTCAACAAAAACAACAAAAGTTGAACTCATTGAATTATTACTCATTAGAAATGCATTATGTTGATTTTTGTTACTATTCAAGAAGGATATTCACCTTTGGTAGATTTTGATCAAGTTTTGGAAAAATCTAGTAGGACGTTTGGAGAAATGGATCAAGCCATTATAGCAACAACAAAACTTTGAACTGTGCAACAACAATCACCACTAGCTTCAGCATATGTTACAAAATTTTAAAAATTGTATGTGACTTCCATTGGAAGTATGTAGCTTTCATCATTATGTTTCAATAGATATCAAAACCTTGTTGATGTACTTGCCCAAACTAACAACTTTGTCAAAAATCATCAGTGAAGCAAATAATTGCAACAACTGGTGGTTTGAGTAGCAAAAGAAGCAATGATTGCTCTTTGGATCATATTGAGCGGATAACAAAGTTCTAATCCTTCAAAAATCTTTATATTTTTTCTAATACGTCAAAATTT